TTGGTGCTTGTCAGTTTAAAGACAGTTTTGCTTTCTTAGCTGCGTCATTGGATAAGTTAGTTAGACTAAACAAATATGAAGGAAATGAAAAGATTAGAGATTGGGAGACTCGTTTCAGATATACATGCACCAACCCATATATCAAATCTAAAACTGATTTGAATTTGCTGACTGATAAGGGTGTATATCCCTATGACTACATGAACTCATGGGAGAAATTCGATGAAACAAAACTACCAAAGAAAGAATATTTTTACAGTCAATTATATGAAGAAAACATCACCGACAAAGACTACGCCAGAGCAAATATTGTATGGAAACATTTTAACATTAAAAACCTTGGTGAATATCATGATTTGTATTTGATGACTGATGTATATTTACTGACTGATGTTTTTGAAAATTTTAGGGACATGTGCTTGAACTATTATGGATTAGACCCAGCATATTATATCACTTTACCTAACTATTCTTGGAATGCCTTTTTATCATTGACAGGAGTTAGGCTGCAACAAATACACACAAAAGAAATGTATGAGATGATTGAACATGGATGAAGAGGAGGAATGACACAGTGCTCCTTCAAGAAAGTAGAAGCAAACAATAAATACATGAATGAAGATTATGATAAATCTAAACCTTCATCATACATAAGTTATTTAGATGCTAATAACCTTTGCGGATTAGCAATGTGTAAGAAACTGCCATATGGTGATTTTAAATGGTATTACGGTAGAATTGATGAAAAGAGAGTATTGAAATATTGTGACGATGATGACGACATAGGATACATATTAGAAGTTGATTTAGATTATCCAAAAGAACTACATGATTTACATAAAGACTATCCATTAGCACCTGAAATCATGAGTATCAATGAGAATATGCTTTCAAAAGTCCAGAAGGATATACACAAATACTTTTATGGAAAAGATGCCAGTGATGAAAAGACAAATAAGTTAGTATTAAATGTAATGGATAAAAAGAAGTATGTTTTGCACATATCAGCATTGAAATTCTATCTGCAACACGGATTACGTCTTAAAAAAGTCCATAGAGCAATAAGTTTCAAACAAGCAAACTTCTTAAAACCATTCATTGAATTCAACACTGAAAAGAGAAAGAATGCCAACAATGACTTTGAAAAAGATTTGTTTAAGTTAATGAATAATAGCGTATACGGCAAGACCATGGAGAATGTAAGAAAGCATGGTGATTTTGAAATTGTCCATGCGCCTGAACGCTTCCAAAAACTGGTAAATAAACCGCTATTCAAGCACAGACATATCATAAATGAAGACCTTGTAATTGTTGAAAAAGATAAACACACAGTGGAACTAAGCAAACCTATCTATATGGGTATGTCTATTTTAGACTATTCTAAAATTCACGTGTATTCCTTCTATTATGATGTTTTGAAACCAAAATATCAAGATAATATTAAATTGGTCTATACTGATACTGATAGTTATGTAATCAAAGTTGAGACTGATGACTTATATGAAGACTTCAAAGAGATTAATGAATATATGGATTTTAGTGATTATAAGGTAGAACATCCAAACTATGACAAGACAAATAGGAAGGTATTAGGCAAGTTCAAGGATGAAATGAACGATAAAATAATTACTCACTTTATTGGATTGAAACCAAAGGCATATTGTTATAAAGTCTATGGTGACGAGAAAGAACACAAGACAAGTAAAGGAGTAGTCAAGCATAAAGTGAGCAATCAGTTAAGTTACAAAACCTATGACGAGACATTGAATAGAAAATGTAAAGAAGAAGTCAGTTTCAACACTATCAGAAGTAAGAACCATCAAATCTATAGCATTAATCAGACTAAGTATGCTTTAAGCAACTACGATAATAAACGCTACTGGTTGTCAGATTTTGAAAGTCTCCCGTTTGGACATTATGCCATCAAATAGCTACACAACGAAAAGATGGTTTAAGATGTATGGATATAAAAAAAATGTAAACAGATATGAAACAGACAAATCCATAAGATAGTTTATGTTGGTTAAAATAGTTGCTACATCGGTTCAACAACTGAACAACTGCGTCAAAGAGTGGCAAGACATAGAAGAGATTATAAATCTTATCTATATACACAATACAAATCCCCGAAAACACCATATTAACTCTATGAAATCGTTTGATGAGTTCGGTGTTGAAAACTGTAAAATGGTTCTTATGGAAGAACGCCCACGCCAAAACAGAAAGCAACTCAAAAACAGAGAAGGTGAATATATTGAAAATGATAAGAGCCGTCTTAGCGGATGTTTTGTTGGTCGGACTTGAATGGAATATTACGATGCCACAGGAGAGCATCACCTTGAAGAAACGAAAGGACGCCACATATTCAAATAGAGAATATTGAAAAATACAAAGAAAAGGACAAACAGCATCATGAGAACAAAAAACAAAATATAAGAACACTAGAAAAATAAAGATAGATATAATGAGAAGAATTTAAGTATAGAGAATAAAACAGAGAAGCAATGAGGCAAACACAAAGAAAAAGATACCAAAGAGAGAAAAATAGAATTAATGCCCAAAACAAGAGAAAGGCCAAAACAGAAGAAAGAAGAACAGTTACTAATCAACCAATAGTAATTCATGCCTATTATATCTTTTACTCATTCCATCCAATTTATAATATCTATTATTCATCATATCACGACCAACTAATATCACTTTGTATTTCCTTTCACTCCATTGACTTCTAGTTTCTTTCCTTGATACATAGTTGCCCTTTCCTTTATCAAATATCTTAACATAATCTCCTTCACTTATGTTTGGATATTTTCTGTTGTGCTTTTCTTTCAGTATCAGATTTGTTCTGACCTGAATTACGTTATCAAGATTGTGCACATTATGAGGTGTTGTCTTGGTGCTGCCGTGGATTTGGTTGTTGTATCTATTCAACGAGGGCTTTAGCACTTCCACCCATGTTTTGGTTTTGTAATGCCTCAATCTGTCCCCAATCATTTTTTTGACGGTGCGTATCATCCTTTCTGCCTGATTTGCATGCGTCTTTGTTATTACGTGTGTTATACCTTCCTCCTTAAAAAATGTTTGCAGCTTCTTGCTGTTCAACGCTCCTTCGTCGTCGCTGTAAATCGACAAAGGCTGACCTAATACCTTGAAACACTCCATGACTGCTTTATAAACGTCATCACCATCTTTATTCTTGGTAGGGACTATGTGACATTTTTTACTGAATATATCTATGCAAGCCAAACCATATCTTAGTTGATTTCTGATTTCAGAACCTACGTCTCCCAGCAAACTGGTGACATCCATCAAGTCAATTTGAAATTCATACTTGGGAAACGGTGCAGTGTAGGAATTGTAGTTCTTGTAGTTTCTTGTTTGCTTGTTCGGTTGCGCCCTCATCCATGCAGATACCATATCCAAAGTTATGCCCACATCGACTTTCCTCGCCTTTTCGTATAAGTCCCTCACCGAACCGAAGCCCTCCTCCACGTCGTAATATATTTTTTTCCAATACCTTTTCTTTTTCCAATCTTGTCATTAGAAATACTTAGATTATAATTTTATGATGTTTTCTTGCATCATAAAATGATAACGAACTTACACTAAGCACCTTTGGCACTTTTTGATTTTCTTGTGCTTTGCCAAGTTTGACTTGCAGCTCATGGCACAGCCGCATATATCGCATGCACACGGTTGTTTCGTTTTCTCTTGGTAATGTTTTTGGAAGTATTTTTTGTCGTTCGGTTTTCTGTTGTAGTATCCGTCGTCCTGCTTTCTCCATTCAGCATTTCTAGCCTTTTCAACAAACGAACCTGTTTTATCACCTTCTTCAGACGAAGAAGACGTTTCGCTGTCAGTCAGTTCTTTGTTTCCAAAACCGTTCCAAATAACGTCGAAGGTTTGATTAGTCATTGACATTTCAACTCCGTTGCTTACAAAGTAACAAGGCATACTGCGTATATACTTAATTATATATCTTATATATTTGTTTAAGTACTTTTTTATCCTCAATCGGAAGCATTCGATTGTCCTGATGTCATCTCTGCGTGCCTTCTCGTGCAAGACTTTAATTAACGGAGCAAAACCCAATTTTCAACATCAAATTTTATAGGTTCGAGCAGTTTATCCTTCTACCCGTTGACTTATGCTTAGAGACGCCCAATCCTAAAACATCAACAATCCTAAAACATCAAAAATCCAAACCCAAACATGCTTAGCGTTCAAAACAGTGAGGCTTGAGCTTTGTCCCAAGCCAATCCAAAAACCGAGCCAATCTCCCCCCAAACCGAGCCGGTTTTTCGCGAAGTTTTCCAAACACAGAGACGGTTTTTTCCCACAGACGGAGTCGGAACCTGTTTTTCACAAACACGGAGCCTGTTTTTCCAAAAGCGGAGCTTCCCAAAAACGGTGACGGATTTCCCCAAAATCGGTGATGGATTTCCTCAAAATCGGTGACGGATTTCCCCAAAATCGGTGACGCATTTCCCAAAATCGGTGACGCATTTCCCAAAAGTCGGTGACGGATTTCCCCAAAATCGGTGGCTGATTTCCTGAGAGCCCAGCCTCGTTAGCCGGAACCCCAACTCCCAAAGCCAAAAATACCAAACGCATTTTTAAGTATGTACATACTTGCTCAAAATACAAAAACAATGAGGGATTTCCAGCCCACAACCACTCGTGGAGCTTGCAGGAAAACGCAAACGAGGGTGAACCTGTGGATTTCTTGCGTCAGCACGTTGAAATGTATTTGCAAACATGGCATGTTTCCATGCGCGTCTGGGATTGATGTTCAGTTTCAAGCTTTCGGCTCAGAGTTTGCAGATGAATTCCGGGGCAACAGCCCCTGCCGTGCAGCTCAGTCTTAGAGGGCTCAATTCAGAACGCATCGAACAAACAGTGTTGGGTAGCCAGAACGAAGAACTATTCCAAAAAAAGTTGACAGAGCAGGGGTCGAAACTCAGTTTTGATTGCTTGATTGCGACCCTTTTTTCAGCGCAATGGCTTCCAAGAGAAGCGCTTCAGCTTCTTGTCTGCGTCTTGCTGCAATTAGTTGTTTTTTGGTCGGCGCCTTCCAAAATTTGACCTTCAGCATCCCAAAGCAGATAGAGGAAAGCGCCCAAAACAAAGGCATCAGTCCCGCCCAATACCTGAAAGATGTGAGCAACAGAGCAGAACTCTACCGAAAGAGCGACGCGGTTGCTGGGCGAGAGGAGTTTGTGAAGATATTGAATAAGGCAGTGCGGTTGAGCTATCCGTTGTTTCTCATGAACTTGTTTTAATTCTGTTTGGAGTTTAGAGGTTCAGTATGGTTAAGGAAGTTTATGCGGTTATTAGACGGTTTTTCCTGTCCATTTTTGAAAAGACTTCAGCTCAGCTAAATTGTGATACAGTTCAAGATGTCACGCAACTTCGTCAGGCTATGAGAAAGTCTGGTTTGCACCTTGTCATTGGGGGCAAGTCCCTCGGAAAGACCAAAATTGTGCAGACCGTTGTTGACAATGCTGGCGATGAAGCTCCTTTGCTCTACGTCAATATGCGTCTCCCGAGCAAAGCCCAGTCAACGGATGCATTGGAATGTTTGCAAGAAGAAGCTAAGCGAAGATGGACCGCAAAGAATTTGCCATTCGGGGCAGAGCGGCTGGTTGCCGCCGGTTCTGCAGTTCTTGGAGCACTTGGCAAAGCGAACTTAAAGAAGAGTGACGATGAGGAGATAGGAGAGGGTGCAGTGGAAACTCTTCTCTCTTTGTTTCTCAACATCACCAAGCCCGAGGAGTTCATCAAGGCTTTTGTTGCGGCAACAATGGCTGCAGAGAAGGTTCCAGTCATGATTGTTGATGAAGCCAACATCGCCTTTCCCAATGGTAACGGTGGGAATGGGAATGGCAGAAGAGAAGCAGCTTACAGAGCGCTCGCAACCTTTGTGGCGCTGACAAAGGAGCAGGGGAAAGCGTCTGTTATTCTGGTTGCCTCTGACTATGCTTTCCCATTGGGACTACAAGCTCTTGGCTTCAACAAGTATGATGCTCTCAATACGATTGTAGCTCCGGAGGTTGAAGAGAAGCCTATGCTTTTTTTTGCTGCAAGAGTGGGGTTTGTCTCAAGACTTGGCACAGGAGCTATGAGCAACTTTGCACAGTGCTTTTCTAAAGCTTGCTTTTGTTAGCTCATGCTCGTGTAAAACAGGGTTGAATTTTGGTGTTCTTTGTTTTGCTGAATTTCTTGTAATCAGTTTATCACGGGATGCATGGGTCGGAACTGTTTGCGTGCAATACCATGTGAAATCGGAATATGGCAAATGCTTTTGTGTTGTGGGCTGGCAGGAGTTCTATGAGACCTTCGGTGGAAACGTTTTTTTGTGCCACCAGGCAGTCGACAAGCTCCGTCAGCAATTCGAGTTGGGTCAGGAGAGGCTCTTCGACCCCTTCAACGTCCGAGACAATGCCGGGTTAGGTGACCTCGTGGGTGACCCTCTCACTCGGAAGCACATGGAGAACTTAGCTGAGAAAGGATGGTCGCCAATAGAGGAGGGCGATGCAGAAGAGGAGACGGAGAGCCAGAAGGGTGCTCGCATCATCGCCAAGAAGAACTTCGGCGCCATCATCGCGAGACAGACCACTACTTTCTTTGACAAAGCCTTGAATGAAGATATGTTCAGAGACCCAGCTGCTGTGCGGGTTCTAATTCCACCAACTACATACGCACGCAAGTGCATCCAGCGGATGGTGGACACGGCGAAACCAAGCAACTTGGACTTCAAAGAAAGACTTTTCCTTTGGAGCAACCACTCGTCACTATGAGCCCCAGTCATTTTGCAGTTTGTTTCTCAATCTTTCAGGAGCATTTATCGGAAACGCGAACCATTTTTTCTTTATCCCTTCTCGGTTGAACATGTTGAACGCAAGGCATCACCAGACCACAAGCTGGAGCAGTGTGGGTGAGGCAACTAAAGGAGGACAGGAGTGACCGGTGCCAGTCAGTTGCTCCACCAAGGAAGCACTATTGTATTGGGCTCTACGATTTAAACAATCATGTCTATGCCAACTCAGCAGCAAACTACATGGTGATGGTGTTAATGTAACTTTCCTCCCAAGCCAAACATGTGATTATGTGTAAGCCCGCTATGCAAAATAATACTGTGTCATTTTATGTTCTTGAGACAGCTCAGCACTATTTGAGGAGAAGATTGCAGGGTTGTTCATTCCTCAGGATTTGTTTAAACATATGTTCCAATAATCTTCCTGCGATTGATAGAGAGGATTTAGACTGAAGACTTTGTATGTTTTTCTGCCATGCCCTTGTTCCTTTGCTGTGCCCTTTTGTCAGGTGTAGGAAGAACTTTTATTATCGAAAAGCCATGCCCCAAACTAAAAGCGTGATTAAGGGTAAGTCCACTGTGCAAGAAAATACACTGTCATGCTACGAACTTGGTATGGTTCAGGACTTTTGGGGACAAGATTGCAGGGTTTTTCATTCCTCAGGATTTGCTAAAAGATATGTTCCAATAATCTTCCTCAATTTGATAGAGAGGATTTAGACTGAAGACTTTGTATGTTTTCTGCCATACCCTTGTTGGTTTGGTATGTCCATTTGCCTGTTCCCACCTCAACATCTCACCTTGTGAGCGATACAGCAAGTGTTGAACAAGCAGCCTTGTCATCCCTATATGTGTTCCTTTCATGTGTTGCTTTGCGCGGTTCATGTGCTAAAACCGGTCTGGATTGGTCATGTTGATAAAGCTAGGGTTGTGTTCCATCATTTCTCCCACTCAAGTGTCAAAAACATTGTTATTTGCAAGAGCCACTGCAACAGTTGATGCCATTGTTCCCTTCGAAGTTCCCCTGACTAGTGTTAGGTTTAAATACAAGTGGTTTGTTCAGCCGAAACTTCATGAAGAGATTTCTTTCTGGCATCCTTTGCCTTGTCACGTTTTGTTTCGGGACTGTTGGGGGGATTACATTGTTGTTTATTTGGATGTCTTCCAATATTCAACTTCGAAAGGACTTAGACGCAAGGTGTTGTTTCTCTGCCCTTTGCTTGTTCCTTTGCCATGTTCTTTTGAGGGAAGTAAATGTTTTATACATAAAACACTAGCATATTTATTCCTCAGGGTTTGTTGAGCGATATTTACAAAATATTACTTTCATTCATGGAGAGGTTTTAGACGAAAGACTTTGTATGTTTTCTGCCATGCCCTTGTTCCTTTGCTGTGCCCTTTGGTAAGTAAATGCCAGTAGCACAAGCCAGTAGCACAAGGCTAGAAGAGGTTGAATTTGAATGTCTTGGTTGCTGACCTTGCAGGACGACAAGGGTGGCTTTGAGCTCGTCGGCAATCCTTTCCCAATCGACCCAGTGCCTCAAAATATCGCATTCCCGACATGTATTTGTTGAACGCTTTTTAGTGCATGCTTGGTCTGGAATTGAATTTGGATAAGATGTTGTGTATCTCAACTTGAACGTCGTCAGGCATATTTGAAGAAGGTGCAGACCTCAAACGGAATTTCTTTCATCTTGTTGTGGAAACATTTTTCAGAAGATAAATGACACATGTAAAGCAGAGAGTCCGCATCTACAATCTACAACATGTGCTGTGAGTTCATGGTTTTGCGTTCATGTGCAATGCTGTGCCTTAGTTGACGTTGAGTAGAAGACAAACAAAGTAGTGATTGAAAGCTTGTTTTGCTCTGAGGCGATCAAGAAGGAAGAAGAACTAGCCATTGCACCGTCGAAGATAGAAATATTTAGCCAAGAGGACGCGCCGTTGTCTGTGCCAGCAACTTCTTTGCTAGTTGCAGTTGCGTCGATGACCTGCCAGTTCGTGTTTAGTCAGTTCCTTGTAGTTTGAATGCTTTCTCCGCAGGACTTCAACTGGAGCAAGGAAGACGAAGAAGCTTCCATTGAACGCGGTGCCTCCAAGTCCTCCCCTCAGTAGAACGTGTTAATACTTGTGACGAGTGCCTTGTTGAAGACACTCCTTATGGCTACATTGTGCCGTAGAGGCTGGCATCTTGCTGAGACAATTGGTGATTTGCATTCAGCCATGTCAATATTGTTATTTGCTTGTTACAAACGCCTTGCAAAATTTCGGGGGTCAACCAATCATTCAGGTTGGACTGCTATGGATACCTCATTCCATAGAGGCTGGCTTGCTTTTGAGCAACGTGTGCAGTGTGGCAGTGCTTTTGTTTGCTAAATGGTGCATCTTGAAGCAGTTTTGCTTTGTGAGGCTCTTTCTGGCCCCACTGTGAGCATTGGACGGTGTCATTCCATGCTCCGTGCATTTGCGTCTTCTCCATTGTAAGATGCGTAATATGTTTTGTTGTGGCAAGCTTTGCACTTTGGTTTTGTCATTGTGGGATTTTAATTGTTATTCTTGTAAAGGGGATGATGATATAAAGATACAAAGGCGGCATATCAAACTGGGAAATAACGAGCTGGAGAGGCAACTTGCCACAAACGATCCGTGAGCGGCTGGTACAGAAGCCACAGAGCTGTTCAGCGCAGAGTTTCACCCAAACGTGGCAATAAACACGGAAAATGGAGTGGCAAAAACTCATTGAAGTGGTGATTGGTTTGAGGGATGGATTTGCGCACGCAAGCGCCGTTGTCGTTTTGACTTTGGCCAGTGTGAAATGACAAGATGGGAAATGGAAAATCGATGGAAGATCGAAGGAAAATCTGGAGACAATTTGTGGAATGAAGTTCTTCTTTCTGGTATTCTTATCCTTTTGGACTGTGTGTGCTTATCCTAAATTGAAGCAACGACAGAAAATACGTTTTAGGGAAAGACTGGCTTTGTTCGAGCAAGAAAAATGGCTCCGGTTTTGGGCAATAAAGCGGTTCCGTTTTTGAGAAAATCTGCCACCGATTCGAGGGAAACACGTCACCGACTTTGAGGAAATCTGACACCGATTTTAGGGAAATCTGTCACCGACTTTGGGGAAATCCGTCACCGATTTTGAGGAAACCTGTCACCGATTTTGGGGAAATCCGCTACCGATTTTGGGGAAATCTGTCACCGATTTTAGGGAAATCAGCCACTGACTTTGGGGAAATCCGACTTTGGGAAAATCAGCCACCGACTTTGGGAAAATCTGCCACAGACTTTAGGAAAACCTGCCAGAGACTTTGGGAAAATCAGCCACCGACTTTGGGAGAATCTGCCACCAGTTTTGTGAAGCTCCGTTTTTGGGAAAAACAGGTTCCGTTTTTGTGAAAAACATGCTCCTTTTTTGGGAAAAACATGCTCCATGTTGGGAAAAACATGCGCCGTTTTTGGAGAGAACAGGCTCCGTTTTTGGGAAAAACAAACTCCGTTTTTTGGGACAAACTGGTTCGGTTTGGGGGAAAATTGGTTCGGTTTGGGGGGGAAAATTGGATAGGTTTTTGGATTGGCTTGGGACAAAGCTCAAGTCTCGCTGTTTTGAACGCTAGGCATGTTTGGGTTTGGATTTTTGAGGGTTTAGGACTGGGGTGTCACTAAAAATAAGTCAACCGGTGGAGTTGGAAGGGTAAAATGCTCAAACCTATAAACTTTATTAAACTTTGATGTCGAAACTGTTTTGGGGTTGTGTTAGGGACTTGTACGAGATGCCACAAGCACAAACTGATATACATAGTATAAATATACTTAGACAAATATTGATATATATATAATTAACTATATTTGCAGTATGCCTTGTTACCTGGTAAGTAGTGGAGTTGAAATCCCGATGACAAATCAAACCTTTGACCTTATTTGGAACGGTTTTGGCAACAAAGAACTCATTGACAGCGAAGCATCTTCATCTGAAGAAAGCTACAAAGCAAACTCATCAGTTAACAAAAACACCAATGCTGAATGGAGAAAACAAGATGACAGATATTACAACAGAAAACCGAACGACGAAAAGTATTTCTAAAGATATTACCAAGAGAGAACGAAACAACCGTGCGTATGCGATATATGCGGTTCTGCCATGAGCTGTAAATCAAACTTGGCAAAGCACAAGAAAACAAAGAAGTGCCAGAGGTTCTTGGTTTGAGTTCACTATGATTTTATGATACAAAAAAATATCATAAAATTATAATCTAAGTATTTTTAATGACAAGATTGGAAAAAGAAAAGGTATTGGAAAACATATATTACGACGTGGAGGACGGCTTCGGTTCGGTGAGGGACTTATACGAAAAGGCTAGGAAAGTCGATGTGGGCATAACTTTGGATATGGTATCTACATGGATGAGGGCGCAACCGAACAAGCAAACAAGAAACTACAAGAACTACAATTCCTACACTGCACCGTTCCCGAAGTATGAATACCAAATTGACTTGATGGATGTTACCAGTTTGTTGCGAGACGTAGGTTCTTAAATCAAAAGTCAACTAAGATATGGTTTAGTTTGCATAGATATATTCAGTAAAAATGTCACATAGTCCCTATCCAGAATAAAGATGGTGATGACGTTTATAAAGCAGTCATGGAGTGTTTCAAGGTACTAGGTCAGCCCTTGTCGATTTACAGTGACGACGAAGGAGCGTTGAACAGCAAGAAGCTGCAAACATTTTTTAAGGAGGAAGGTATAACACACGTAATAACAAAGACGCATGCAAATCAGGCAGAAAGGATGATACGCACCGTCAAAAAAATGATCGGGGACAGATTGAGGCATTACAAAACCAAAACATGGGTGGAAGTGCTAAAGCCCTCGTTGAATAGATACAACAACCAAATCCACGGTAGCACCAAGACAACACCTAATAATGCGCACAATCTTGATAACGTAATTCAGGTCAGAACAAATCTGATACTGAAAGAAAAACACAACAGAAAATATCCAAACATAAGTGAAGGAGATTATGTTAAGATATTTGATAAAGGAAAGGGCAACTATGTATCAAGGAAAGAAACTAGAAGTCAATGGAGTGAAAGGAAATACAAAGTGATATTAGTTGGTCGTGATATGATGAATAATAGATATTATAAATTGGATGGAATGAGTAAAAGATATAATAGGCATGAATTACTATTGGTTGATTAGTAACTGTTCTTCTTTCTTCTGTTTTGGCCTTTCTCTTGTTTTGGGCATTAATTCTATTTTTCTCTCTTTGGTATCTTTTTCTTTGTGTTTGCCTCATTGCTTCTCTGTTTTATTCTCTATACTTAAATTCTTCTCATTATATCTATCTGTATTTTTCTAGTGTTCTTATATTTTGTTTTTTGTTCTCATGATGCTGTTTGTCCTTTTCTTTGTATTTTTCAATATTCTCTATTTGAATATTTGGCGTCCTTTCGTTTCTTCAAGGTGATGCTCTCCTGTGGCATCGTAATATTCCATTCAAGTCCGACCAACAAAACATCCGCTAAGACGGCTCTTATCATTTTCAATATATTCACCTTCTCTGTTTTTGAGTTGCTTTCTGTTTTGGCGTGGGCGTTCTTCCATAAGAACCATTTTACAGTTTTCAACACCGAACTCATCAAACGATTTCATAGAGTTAATATGGTGTTTTGGGGGATTTGTATTGTGTATATAGATAAGATTTACAATCTCTTCTATGTATTGCCATTCTTTGATGCAGTTTTTCAGTTGTTGAACCGATGTAGCAACTATTTTAACCAACATAAACTATCTTATGGATTTGTCCGTTTCATATCTGTTTACATATATATATATTTTATATCCATACATCTTAAACCATCTTTTCGTTGTGTAGCTATTTTATGGCATAATGTCCAAACGGGAGACTTTCAAAATCTGAAAACCAGTAGCGTTTATTATCGTAGTTGCTTAAAGCATACTTAGTCTGATTAATGCTATAGATTTGATGGTTCTTACTTCTGATAGTGTTGAAACTGACTTCTTCTTTACATTTTCTATTCAATGTCTCGTCATAGGTTTTGTAACTTAACTGATTGCTCACTTTATGCTTGACTACTCCTTTACTTGTCTTGTGTTCTTTCTCGTCACCATAGACTTTATAACAATATGCCTTTGGTTTCAATCCTTTAAAGTGGGTAATTATTTTACCGTTCATTTCATCCTTGAACTTGCCTAATACCTTCCTATTTGTGTTGTCATAGTTTGGATGTTCTACATTAATCTCTTTGAAGTCTTCACATAAGTCATCAGTCTCAACTTTGATTACATAACTATCAGTATCAATATAGACCAATTTAATATTATCTTGATATTTTGGTTTCAAAACATCATAATAGAAGGAATACACGTGAATTTTAGAATAGTCTAAAATAGACATACCCATATAGATAGGTTTGCTTAGTTCCACTGTGTGTTTATCTTTTTCAACAATTACAAGGTCTTCATTTATGATATGTCTGTGCTTGAATAGCGGTTTATTTACCAGTTTTTGGAAGCGTTCAGGCGCATGGACAATTTCAAAATCACCATGCTTTCTTACATTCTCCATGGTCTTGCCGTATACGCTATTATTCATTAACTTAAACAAATCTTTTTCAAAGTCATTGTTGGCATTCTTTCTCTTTTCAGTGTTGAATTCAATGAATGGTTTTAAGAAGTTTGCTTGTTTGAAACTTATTGCTCTATGGACTTTTTTAAGACGTAATCCGTGTTGCAGATAGAATTTCAATGCTGATATGTGCAAAACATACTTCTTTTTATCCATTACATTTAATACTAACTTATTTGTCTTTTCATCACTGGCATCTTTTCCATAAAAGTATTTGTGTATATCCTTCTGGACTTTTGAAAGCATATTCTCATTGATACTCATGATTTCAGGTGCTAATGGATAGTCTTTATGTAAATCATGTAGTTCTTTTGGATAATCTAAATCAACTTCTAATATGTATCCTATGTCGTCATCATCGTCACAATATTTCAATACTCTCTTTTCATCAATTCTACCGTAATACCATTTAAAATCACCATATGGCAGTTTCTTACACATTGCTAATCCGTAAAGGTTATTAGCATCTAAATAACTTATGTATGATGAAGGTTTAGATTTATCATAATCTTCATTCATGTATTTATTGTTTGCTTCTACTTTCTTGAAGGAGCACTGTGTCATTCCTCCTCTTAATCCATGTTCAATCATCTCATACATTTCTTTTGTGTGTATTTGTTGCAGCCTAACTCCTGTCAATGATAAAAAGGCATTCCAAGAATAGTTAGGTAAAGTGATATAATATTCTGGGTCTAATCCATAATAGTTCAAGCACATGTCCCTAAAATTTTCAAAAACATCAGTCAGTAAATATACATCAGTCATCAGATACAAATCATGATATTCACCAAGGTTTTTAATGTTAAAATGTTTCCATACAATATTTGCTCTGGCGTAGTCTTTGTCGGTGATGTTTTCTTCATATAATTGACTGTAAAAATATTCTTTCTTTGGTAGTTTTGTTTCATCGAATTTCTCCCATGAGTTCATGTAGTCATAGGGATATACACCCTTATCAGTCAGCAAATTCAAATCAGTTTTAGATTTGATATATGGGTTGGTGCATGTATATCTGAAACGAGTCTCCCAATCTCTAATCTTTTCATTTCCTTCATATTTGTTTAGTCTAACTAACTTATCCAATGACGCAGCTAAGAAAGCAAAACTATCTTTAAACTGACAAGCACCAAATGAAAAGGTTATGAACTTTTCGCTGTTTTGTGCTATTACATCTATTCTTTTGTTTTGGTTTAGTTCTATGTTTAGTTCATTTGCTTTTGCTATGATTAAGTGAGCGTCATAATTTTTAAGATTAGGAAAGAAGATAGGGATTTTAAAATATCTAAATGAATAATCCAGATTACATTTTACATGCGCTGCGCCTCTGTATTTGCCTGTGAAGTGGCAGTGGTCGCGAACCTTTTCATCGTCAGGTTCAAATTTCTTACCGCAGATGGAGCAATGAGACGATAATTTAAACTCTAATTTTTGTTCGTTTGTTAATTCATCCATCGGTTTATTAACATTCATTTTTTCAAATATATCTTTCTTAATTTCAGTCAGTTTTTCTACAAACTGTTTCATACAGTCCTCACCTCTGTATAAGTATGGCTGGCATGTATTATCAATCCTGCTTACTACATTTCGCATATAACCACATGGTTTATGTTCTTGATATGTGCCTTTTATACCATTTTTAGAGTTAGTCGTTAGACATTCAAAATCACCATAGATTACAAAAGGACAAGGCAATTTAGTATTATGCTTTTCAAATTCTATATACGTGTCTTTATTTGGCATCTTTGTTTGTTGTCCTTCTGATGCCATACATCTTTTTTCAAGATGGTTCTTATATGCCTTTTCTGATTAAAAGGGATTTAAACAATGGTGGCAGTAAAACTTTTTATTTGTGTTGCTACTGCTTTGACCGTTTAATAACCTACATTTATTTTTAACTAATACGTAGTGATAACTATGATCTTCATCATAGATTTTTAGTAAATCAATTTCGTATTTAGCATTTCTATTTTTAGTGCCTCTATGCAATATAGTCTTATTATCATTTAAGCAGTCATCGGGTTCAAACACATTTATTGAAACTGATTTATTGTTCTCTTCAAATCTGTCAATGTCCCTATTGCCAGTTGGAAAATGTACACCATCCCAGTTCAAAATATCATCTTTCAGTTTATTATAGTGGAACATTTCCTCTGGGTGGTGTTTGCTTATTTTGTCATAGACTACGGATTGAATACAATATTTGAAGCATTTTTGGTCTCTGTTCTTTATGTTGATACATGCCTTTTTTAGCTTAATCCATTCAGGTAATTCTATGTATCTCCCTGCTCTTGTTGGGTCATGTTTGTCATAGTGAATGGTTATTGTCAACATCTTCTTAAATCTTAAATTGGATGCTGATGCTTCTAAATTCTGCATTTGTAATAAGATTTGTTTAACACTGTCTTCTAATGCTTGCGTCAGTTCATCCTCATTACTAATATTGAAGCGGGTTGATGGTAGGGCATATACAAGTTCCTGACTTCCTAATTCATTTCCTCCATCATCAAATTCAGGTTTTTCAAATAATCCTTCCGTTCTTATGTTAAGTTTCATGCTTCTATTATTTCTTAAAAAATCTGATAGTCTTTGTTTTTGGTGCGCAATCATTTCTAATCCCCTTTCTCCTTGAAAGTGTTTATTTTCTAAAACTATTGAATTAGCGTATCTTCTAAATGCTGATTGAATATCTCTGACCCTAAATTTATTTCTGATTGCGTGTTTGGTTAGTATTTGTCTCACTCTTCCTTCACTGAACGCATCTCTTGCCTTGTTTAAAGCATAACTTCTGTATTCACTAGTTTTCTTGACCGTCAGTAGTTTCTTTGTTAAGACACTAGATATTGGTTTGTCTTTGTTGTATCTGAATTTCTTATCATCTATTATTATTGACTTTAATTCTCTTCTTCCTCGTTTTGGTATTTCTGCTAAATCATTACTCAATAAATAGTTTATAACCTTTTTCATCATATAATAGTATATATTTTATTTAGTTAATTTATCTTTAAGTAGTTTTTCAAAGAATTCTACATTTTAATCTTGGAATATATACTGAAAGACTAAGTTATTTATATAAGTTTTTATAAGACAAATTGTATGAAGGGTTTGCCTGTTGATGCGTTGCGTAAGATCGTTCCTTATAAAATTGGAGACCCTAAATATTTGACAATAAAGCGTAGTGAAGCATTGAAGAGAATACGGAACAAACATAAAATATCAAGATTTGGTCCTAAAATAACAAGACATTTGAAACCAAGAAAAAATATGTAATTTAATACTGTATTGTGAGAGAGGGAGTGCCATTTGGTTTAAAACGTATAGGAAACATCATAACAGAAGAAAAAGAAAAATTACTATCTTTGATTTATGAAGAAGTAGAAGAAGATAATTTAAATTTTAGAGTTAAACTTGATATTGAAGTCCAAATAGTAGCAAAACTCCCAGATAAACAATATGGAGACAATGAATTTAGTTATAGAGAAATTTACTTCATGCATGACTTTGATGAATATGTAGATGAAGATAATATAGAAGATGTATTGAATAAAGCAGATGAAGAAATAAATACCGACATAGAAGAAGACCAAGATAAAGATAGTATAATAGGAATACAAGCATTTCATTTTGAATTGATAATTATTGAAGATATTTACTACTAACATATTTCTAATAATATTTATTTATTAGAATTATGGATTTGTAAGATAGGGTTATTAAAGGGTAGGGAATAATGTTTATTGTTGTCTATTGTTTTGTTTTTTATGTTGTTCTTCGCTAGGTTTGTTTTTGTTTTTGGTTGTTATAGGAATTCTTGGAAAAGACATTTAAGAAGATAATCATATTTATATGTAATGGATAAATTTTGTAGGTACTGTGTTAAAGATTTACCAATTGATAATTTTGAAGATGGATTGAAGACTTGTAAGACATGTTTGGAATACAAGAGAAAGAACTATGACAAACATAAAGATAAAGTGAATGAAACACGAAGAACTAAATATAAAGAAGATGAAGAATATAGAAAAAAGAAACAGGAACAAATACAAAACTATCGTGATAAAGTTGCCTTTTGTAATGTATGTAGTTCATCAATGAAGGCACAATGTTATTCAAGACATTTAAAAACAGAGAAGCGTAAAAGGAATTTAGGAACGGTTGATGGATAGGATTTTGTAAAATGAATAAGGTAATAATGCTTTTGACTGCTATGATTTTGAAAAAATGAATGAGGTAAGTATGCTTTGACTGCTATGATTTTGAAAAAATGAATGAGGTAAGTATGCTTTGACTGCTATGATTTTGAAAAATTGACTGAGGTAAGTATGCTTTGACTGCTATGATTTTGAAAAATTGAATGAGGTAAGTATGCTTTGACTGCTATGATTTTGAAAAATTGAATGAGGTAATTATGTTTTGATATTGTTGAGAAAAATGAAGCAATTAACAATATATAAACTGACTTTTTGGACTATTATGTTTTTTAATGAATAAATTTTGATTTGTTATACTGCTATGATATTAGTTTAGAAAACTTCACTGAATCAGTTTTTTTTTTTACATTTTTTCCCCCTGCTGTCGGCAGGGGCCGGCGGATTATTAACTATTCTCAACCCCGTGTCATTGAAAACCAGATAGATGAAAAGGATTGAGCAGGTGTAGGCAGTTTTTTTTGGTCCATTGATGCTGATCCAGTTTCATGGCCTGGAGCTGACCAGGCAGCAAGATTTCGGTGGTGCGACGGAGCTCTCTTGCGAGCCATGCGCCAAGGGGCATGGACCTTAGCATTGCTTGTCTATGTTGGCGTTCCATGGCCTTGGAAGGATTCAAAAAAATCAGTTTCCTGAGAGGTAATACAATATCGTCAAGTGATGTCTTGATTCACGGCATCTGATTTTCGACTGGCTGTTTCACTACAGCACCAGTCATAGTCGAATTTGATTCGCAAGAGTGGGCAAACTTTGTTCAGCTGTCAGGACTGGGTGCTGCTGGATGAGATCAATTTGGCTCCACAGGACAGCACACCTCGGAAAACGGCTGTGGAACTAGCGATACATAGCACGATGACAGGAAGCAACCTGACAACATGGTCCATGCAACATGGTATATAAATAATATATATAGTGATCCTAAAGCAGATAGACTATTTTTTTGGAGGGTGAGGATTTATGTTGGAATTATGTTGGATGTTGGCCACTTAAAAAAGTAGTAGTTGGAATATTTCGACCCCCTCCGGGGAGGTCGAAAAGTGGTAGTTGGAATATGGTTTGGAGGGTTAGATAGAATATTTTTGTTCAAAGTGGCCCATTCACTTCAAGATATTGCACAATTACCCGTATATACTAATGTATAGCGATTACTATGAATACATATTATGTAGGTATTTAAAGAGTCTCAAACTGCTTTGGGGTCTGTGCGAGGTGTTCACAATTCCCTCTATCTAAGATCTACCTGGTTTGAAACAATTTTCTATCCTTTTTTTTAAAAAAAATATATTCTATTTTTTTTGTCTCTTTTGTTGTTTGTGTTTTTTCAATATTTCTCCAGATCCGTGTCCAAAACTGGCTAAAAATGACTTTAACAGGGACGAAAAACGTATAAAAACTGAGGGTTTTGAAAATATTTCATTTTTTTTTGGAATCAGGATTGAACATGTCCGATATTCTATCTACTCCAGGATGACTATATAATACTATATATATTATTATATAGATACACAGAATATACACATAGAATCTTTTATAGTCAGGTCTTGAATTCAGGAATTGGATTCAATGATTGAATGGTTCTAGAAGACTCAAACGGTCATTGCGTTGTGCTTCATTGCGAGGCCACTTTGGAAGGTCTGAATGCACTCTTGGACCACCGACGGCAGGCACTTGACCTCCTCTCTTCGCATCCAAGGATGTTCGCTGGACCTGATCTCCGCTGCCAGGTCTATTTGCCAGCTATAGGGCAAACTGTGGCAGCCCATCATGGATTCAGGCTGGCGACAGAACTGAGCAATACCTTCTTATAGACACGTAGCATTCTGATATGTTCTAAGTATCTCTTAGTATCTTTAGAGTCTCTAAGTATTTAATTTTGGACAATCAAATGGCGTCTTTCTTCTTTCTCTAAAGGCGGAGTCTATCACAAGAGATGCTTCCTCTTGGTTTCAGGCTTTTTGCAGCTCAAAATCCAGTTGCAACAGGAGGCAACTTTCGTGGGAAGCAGGTTGCTTTTTGGCATCAGGGTGACGGTGCCATCACTTTGCTTGCAGAGCTTGTTTGACTTTGGGACTGTAATTGGTTTCGCAGACTATGAGGTGGTCGCAAGGGACTCCCACGATCCTTCTTGAATCGGTTCACACGTGTTGTGCTGTCTCAGCTGCCAGACCCTCAGTACTCTGATGATTTCGAGCTTTTGAAGAGGTCTCGATATGTCTTGAGGTCTCGAGCAGACCTTCTGCACATTTGCCCCGGCCACAATTGAATATTTAGCTGGATGCTGGCAGATTCTCGACGGACCCATCACTTTAGATTTGCTCAGGTCGCCATGTGCATGGTGCAGCTCTTGGTGAGGACATCGTTGACCGGGCAGTCACTGCGACATGCTTAAGAGTATTAACAGCAATAAAGTGCGGAAGTGACCACATTCAAATAGAATCAAACAGAGACGTTCTGTACACATAAATGACGTGAGATCGAAGCATCCATACACATGGCAGGTGGCTTTGCTTGAAGAGCTTCAAAAAGTATCTCAAGGAGATGGCGAGGAAGGTGGGCAAACTGGCGAAAATTCAAAAAGAAACATGACAAGACAGTCATTTGTCGCATGGAAAGTACACAGTCTGGTGAACATTGTAACATACGCAGGACATTATGGGCATCTTTGATCATACGCGCATTGTTTCAAATCTTAACAGCCCTGCAAGGTCCTTTCCAGGCACGTCTCGAATTCGCAAACAGCCCAGTACTCCAGTTGGACAGGAAATGTGAAAGGTGTCGAAGGAGCTTGCACAGGGTCCTTCCAGTGCGGGACTTGAGGATTGGAACCTTCGAGATGCCTTGCGGCTTTGTGAGCTGTTACGAGAAGCATCCTCAGTCAATGTTGCAGACTTTGAAAACCACTGACCCAATCTGACCAACACCTGTCGATCTGGGAAAGTAATGCTGTGCTGAGGCCAAAGTTCCGCTGGCAGAAGACTTTCATACATCTGCAGAACTGCTCTTTGTGCGAGTCTTGTTTTGCACCTCACAAAATGTGAAGACAAATCATTTCCACATATTGAAGTGATTCTCTACGCCACTTGGTTTCCAGGTTTCAAGACTCCGTTGTGAAAATGACCGGAGAGTCGCTCAACAGGTGATTCGAAGGACTGATTTGGTGCTCCGGTTAGAACCCGCAGCAGGGAGACAGTTGGTGATATGGATTGGATGATCATGACCAGACTCGCGGTGCAGCAGGATATTTCCCCTACCAAAGCAAGCCAAGGCACAAGCATAGTGCAGTCTTGAGCTAGGAACCCATACAGACATTGGTGAACGATCATGGAACTGATTGCATTTGATGGAAGCAGATGAAGATACCACTGCTTCAACCACTCACCGCAATTCACCAAGTACATTTTAGCTTCTCTGCAAAACATATTTTCTGGTTCCAGGGGCCCACGGACGTGAAAAGTGCTGCAGCCTTGCTGAGGGCAAGCTGTGGGTTGGCAGAGGCCGCAGCTGCGAATTGGGGATAGAACGCCATTGCCACAACTGATGTATTGCCAATTTTCGAAGGCATGGGAAGATTGATGCAAGAATTCCATCCTCATTGCTTTCAGTTTTCGCTTCAGGGAGCAGAGTCGATCAAGGAAGAAAGCATGTCTCTCAGATTCTCGGGGACAAAGGTTGGGGTCTGTTGGGGATGTTGGGGACATCCACAATTTCTTGGGAGAGATCCCCCAAGAATTCCAGCCACAAAAGCGTGTAATCATAAGGCATCATGAAGGGACTGATGCTGAGAAAGTCAACGACAACCATTATGAAGAGTGGAGCGAAGCTCCACAGCAGAGAACCTCGTGAAAGAGGGACTCTTGCAGCAAACATTGCAGAAGATCTGAAAGACAAAGCGATGGAAGAAAACAGATCTCTGTACCAAGGGAAAGAACCAAGTAGCGAGTACCGAGTACCGCTTGTCATTATTTTCGATGCCTGAGCTGAGCCGCAAGGTTCGGTCAAAGCACCTGCGCTGTGTCAGGGCCCTTAGAGCCGGGAAATAGGAACATATGTAGTAGCATCCAACAATCATAAGATGAACTATGTTATGTACATATAAATATGCACAGAATTGCGCTGTAAAAAATACATTTTTTCACTTGTGGTTGAAACAATTTCTGCAGGATGGCAGGTCCCTTTGGCAGCTCAGAGCAGACTCTGAGGTTTGGGAGCACATAGCCTTCAAGCACGGCTGAAGGGCATTCAGGTGGGGCACAAAGGGCAGGGTAGTATCTCTGGCAGCGGAGGAATCAGAAGTCCTTGCGGAACTTGCTACATAATTCCTTCATCCTTTTACTAACTCGGTTCCTTGTAAGACAGTGAACGCAAGCACAACAAGGTGCATTTTGTCAGTGATGTCCAGAATTCCAACTGATCTTCCATGCCATATCCATCCGTTGAATTCAATGTTTGACCAATCGTAGGTGGGTGCTGCTTTGCTTCAACAACTCCATCCTGGTGATCCCCGCAGCTGGAAACCCAAAGACCAAACGGGTTTGGTTCCTACAAAACCACCAGTGGCGCACCTGCAGTATCACAGATGTTTGAGTTTCAGGTTGGAGTGGCTTTGAGCACATCCGACATTGTCCGAATTTGGCTGCTTTGGCCAGCCTGGTACTTGTCTTCTTTCTATATCACGGAACGGAACCTACACGAGAGTCAACACCACAGTGGAACTTGAATGACTTACAGCTTCCGCTTCGTGGTGAGGCCAATCTGCTGTGGTGCATGCGATGTCGCATGCAGTTTCAGAAAACTTGAAATGGCCAAGAGCTCACAGCCCTGTTCAGCCTGGTTCATTCTGGTATAGTAGCAGGGCCATAGAGCTGGTGCAGTCGCAACATGTCGCAACAAAGATTTTGCAGGCCGTTCTGGTCCAAGGCCATTGGGCAACTTATCGATAAATAAGGCGCACACACACACACATGTAATGGCAAACGATCATCACCCAATGGCGAACACAAGCGCTTGGATTTTTTCATTTGTTATTATTGGTTCTGGGATTTGAGACTCAGTCTGATGGTTGTTCAAGCCTCACATTGCAATGCTCAGACTCAGAGAGTAAAGCCAGGATATATTTGGTCAGATCAGCCAAAGAACGAGGAACTCGTGCTCCCTACACAAGCGCAAAGATGACGAACTGGCAAGCAACCACTGACACTGACATCAATGAGTGATGATGAAGTGGATGGATGGCATCACGTGGGACGTCCTGCGAAGCAACGTCGTCGTCAGGCGAAGATTTCTTGGGAAAGAGCAAGTCGAACGCATTATTGCTTGCAACATCGAACGCAACCAGATGCAACAACTGAGTACACAGTAGATGCAACGAATAATCTAGAAATCGCAGGTGGCAGCAACTTGCTGCACAAAGAACACTGTCAAGATATTTTGTTCGCTATAGGCCAACGAGAATTGGGGCAACATCGGCGCTTTGTTGGAAGGTCTTTTGCTCGCAAGAGTCAGTTTCCATTGAAAGGCCGGAAGTAAGCGCACGCAGTTACTTGAACGAAGTGCAAAAATTAAGCTCTGGATACCTTGTGAGGGTTGCTATGGGGTTTGAAAGAGGGACCACATTTTGTTTCAAAAGAGACCGAAGAAACGCTCTTTGTTTGCTCAGGAACCTCTGTGGTGAAGCTCTTCTGCAGAGAATTGAAGCCGTTTCTCGGTGCTTAAGTGGTTCAGTTTCGACCGTTACGTTCACTGATTAGAGCTGGCTAGGTGGCAGTTCGCATCGCTGCTTGCTTCAATGCCTATATTCTGCGTTTGCCAACCAGTCAGGAACTACTCAATGCCATGGACGACAAAAAGGCAGGCTGTGTGGCCTCCCACCTGAAGTAATTCCTTTCACAGCAATGCAGATGAAATACCTTCCATTGTCATGACAGCGAGACAGCACCTCACATGGCCCCTTCATGCTTGGCAGGCAGCTGTCATCAACTTCAAGCGCATTTGTACTTAGCTTGGAAGAGCGTCTGCTGCTCACAAATCGGCACTGCGTTGCTCATGCGAGTTGTATTGATGCTTTGTGGCACTTGGGTTGAAAACAGATGAAAGAGAGCTTGCTGGACACATGGGGTTAGACCAACCATATGACAAAGCCCTTGCTTAGGAGGTGCGAAAACGTGGTGATGACGAGAAGTTCGAAGCAGAAGTCTTGGCGCGTGCAACCGATTGTGATTTAGCAATCCTCACTGTCCGAGATGAGTCATTCTGGACTGGTTCATTGAGTGCTCAGACACTTTGCAGTGATGTGCCTGCGCTCTTCTCTGAAGTTGTTTGTGTTGGCTATCCCACTGGCGGCGACAACTTGTGTGTGACGAAGGGGGTGGTGAGTCGGCTGGATTATGAAGAGAACCCAGACCCATGGAGGAATCGCCTTGTCATTCAAATCGATGCTGCAGTTAATCCGGGGAATTCGGGAGGACCAGCCCTGATAGCTGGAGGCCGCTGTGTAGGGGTTGCCTACGAATCATTGAAAGACGGGTCCACTGAAAACATTGGTTTCATCATTCCTGTGAGCGTGGTTCAAAAATTCCTGACAGCCTGGCGTCGGGTGGCGAAGGGCAGCCCGAAGGGCCCGAAATCTGATGAGAACACCATGAGAGTTACGGCCTTTGGGCACGGTCGATTTTCCACTCAAAGGCTAGAGAATGCGGGGATGCGACGTGCTTTGGGGATGGTCAAAGGGCAAAGTGGCGTGATCATCAAATCCGTCGACCCGACTACACCTAATGCCAAAGTTTTGCAGAGAGGTGATGTGCTTTTGTCACTGGCCGGGGTTCCGATTGGAAATGATGGTTGCGTTCCCTTTGTGTGCGGTTCGTCAAGGCACGATCGAGTGCCATTTCCATATGTAGCCATAGACAAGTTCGTTGGAGAATCGCTGGACGCGGAAATCTTGCGGAATGGTACTCAGATATCATGCACCTTGGAATTGCTCCCGCAGGAGCCTTTGGTTTCAGTGGAAAAGGAGGCGCCATGGCTTCTTGACTACTGCATTATCGGTGGCCTCGTTTTCGTAGTGCTGTCGCGACAGTATTTGCGAGCCACGTTTGGAGAGAAGTGGAAGAAGGAACGGTGCAATGGCTTGGCCGAGATTCTTGATTCAAGGGAACGTGAGTTTCCTGACGAACAGGTGGTGGTGTTGTCTTATGTCCTGTCGCACACCATCAATTTGGGATTTCAAGATGTCCGGAATGCCCGACTCAAAGCCTTTGTTGGGAACGATGGCAAGCCAGTGCGTATACGCAATCTGGCACACTTGTCAGAGGTTATTGACTCCTTCAAAGGCGAACATCTTCGATTCGAGCTATTTGGAAGAGGCAGGGAATAACCTTTGGGGGTGCGCAGGGAGGAGGTTGCTGAATTAAACATGTCCACATGGTTTTGTCTCCTTATTAATTATCTCGCTTCTGAGCACCCAACCGCAACAAGTGACTATAACAAGTCGTGCTTGAGCTGGTTCAGGTTCTGGCTTTCTCCCAGAGATCATTGTTTTGGAGCGTGCTGCTGTGGAGGGCGCAGAGGAAGAGATTCTAAGACGAAACAAAATCCCTGCGTCCAGACGAATATCGGCCATAGTCAGCTGAAAAAAATGTTCTGCATCTTCACACATATTTACACATCTTCACACGTCTTCACACATCTTCACGCTGCTTCACTTGTACTACTTGCATCTGCATTTCAAGAAGTGACAGGCATGCTTTCGCTTTCCGGTGTGTCTAAGGCCTGTCCTGATCGTTGGTGGTCCGGCCTCTGGCAAACACAGTGTGGTCAGATGGTTGGCCGTTGCTTGGCTGCAATGGAGAGACGGATTTTTGTTGTGCTCATGGTGATTGAAATCACCTACCGTTCAGACACGAGTTTTGTTGCTGAACTTTTTGTTTTTGGGGAGAAGCGTGGACAAATGTGCAGTGCTACACATTTTGTACAATGTTGCCGCTTTCTTCAAGGCTATGGCTCGAATGCCACTCCAGGAGGCCAGGCATTGAGTGTCACTCTTTCACCAAGCTGCAAAATCATCGGAATCCGGCGAATCCGGAATCATCCGGAATCACTTTTTGTCGAAATTGTCTTGCCTTTTGGATCCTTTTGGCAGGTTCCGTTAACACCCGCCATGGATGCAAGCGAACTCTTGGGCTGCTTCGAGCAGGCCCTACCCGTTTCAGTTGTAGCGGAGGGCAGAGAGTTCGCAGTGCTGATTGGGCAACGAAATGCGTGGAATGTCAATATCAACCAATATCAACAATCAAAAGGCAATCTTTCAAAGACCATCTAGACAATTCTAAATCAGTACATGGCAGGTTGATGCTCGAAGCCAGTTGCGGCATTGGGCGCATGGTGTTCGAGCTCTGGTCCATGGTCTTCGCCAAGTTGAAGAGGACGCGGCTGCGTGCAACATGCTGGATGAGTGCTTTAGGCAGGGTGTTGCTCTGCGGTGCTTCAACTGTGTTTTTGATGTCTTGACGCGTCTCGGCGGCTTGCATAGGCTCGCATAGGCTTGCATAGGCTTACTACAATTGCCTGAGACGACAGGCAAGGTGCAGAGTTGGAGTCACTTTCTGACAATACAGACGCTGCGACCTCAAGGATAAGTTGGATGCTTGAGTGCACCTGCTTTTGAACGCGCAGATCTTCTTTTGAATATTTTACAGCGGACCTGAAGCACACGTGACAAACACGCGATTCACCATGATTGTGTGTTTCTTTTTCTTTGCTGCTGAGTGCATCTAGCAGATGAAAGGTAGACATTGTGAAGCTCCTATCACAGGCCATTGTCGCTTCTGTTTTTTTCTCCATTGCGTCAATTCATTGTGAGTTCTGAGTGCAGTATGCTGCAGTCTACTGTACCTGGGAATTACAAGTGCAGAAACGCCAGAAGCTTTCCTGTTGCAATGCTGGAAGTGACGGAAGTGACTGATTCAGGCTTCTGCCCTACAGGAGAGGTCAGGACACTCAGCGGACATGCTTGCACTGTATGTCTTGGATGTGGAGTCTCTTTCAGAGCAAGGCTAAAAACGCGTGGACAGAACCACGAAGCGCAGAGGGTTCAGCAGGACTAGAATCGGTGATTTCTCGACTTCTGCCAAAGACACTGCTTCGCATCACTTCATATACTTCATACATTCATACAGAACATTTTGGAACAACTGAAACGACACTTGAAGCAGCTTGTAGCGACTTTTGCTTGTCGTACTTCGGAGAGCCCTTTTTCATCGATCACCCTTTGAGCGTCGTAGTGTTCCACCAGGAGATGTTGAAGCGCCTGGAGGGACAACTTGACATTGCAAGGCTCATGGGGTGATGAACTAAATCAAAGGTGGCCTTTTGAAGTCGGACTATTGGCTTCAAGCACATTGACATTCCAACAAGGTGGATATAGATAAAACATGATAAAACTAAAGTCGTTTCTTTCGATTTCTGTAAATCTTTTCAACACAACATGGCGGAAGTCACACTTTTTTCGTTGGGATAAATCCATCAGAGATAGCAGTGCATTGTGAGCCTTTGTGAACCCTCCAATTGCAATCATTTGCAATCAAATTCGCTTTGTGATTTCTGGTGTACTCGCTTTCAACGCAAAGGCGATGTCCCTGTGGGGAGCAGCATGATCAGCATGAGCATGACTTAGGCTGACTTAGGTGTGACTTTTGAAATAGTATTGCCATGCTGTTGCCATGCTGGAATCGACTTCAGGCGTAACTTAGGCATGACATGACTCTGGCTTTCAGCTTTGTCAGTTTGTGTGGGTAATGAGACCTCAGCACAGGGCCCGGAAACAGTCGGCGGGCTGCTTTGAATGGGATGGGACCTCGGCATCGATCAAACGTCCAAACCTGGCCGCTTAGCGCAGCCGCCAATTTCTGTTGGGTGTCTTTACATCTTCTTCTACATTTTCTTCTACATTTTTTTCTATCCAATGGTTGCTGAGAATTGCTGAGAATTCCTTATGGTCCGAGGTCGACGGGCCTCTTGTCACAGCGATGATGGAGGGCAGCTGGGTTCTTCTTTCGCATGCCGAACAGGTGCGACTGGAATCGACGTACACTGCCAGTGATCCTGTTTTGGGACTCAAACAATTTTCCCTCTAAATGTAAGGTCCCACCGTTTCAAGACCTATAGACAGCGTGTTCAACATTTCATTTGATAGCGGTGGAGAGCAGCTGCAATGTCTTTCTTCCTTTGAGATACAATGTGAAATCGGTCAATGACACTGATTGAAATGGTTCGGTACGTTATATTATAGTACCATCACGTGCCATCCAAGCTTGCCCACGTGTGAAGGCAGCCCCGGCGGTTTTGGACCGCTTGAACTCCTTGCTGGAACCTGATGGTTTTCTTCTGCCAGGATCTCAGGAGATTTCAACCAGTGATCCAAATACAGGAAGCAGTCTTCGGCTGTCGCTTGAGGCTCACAGAGTCAGGTGAAGAGCGACTTGTTCGGCATGCAGCTAAGTTGGATGAGCCGGCCATTAGAATTATTGGACGTAGAGGGAATGACAGTTGCGTCCGCATTTCGCAATGCTGCTTTGTTTCAGGTGGTGTAAGAATGGGCTCAAAGCCGAAACTCTCAATGTAATTCAACTTTGGATTAGACTCGTGGCACTCTGCAACAAGGCCACATCCAGATTTCAGAGTCTTTTTTACCATGACCACTGGTGGAGCACCCTCAACAGTCCGTTCCCAAGACCTTATTCTCCATTGAGATTTACGGATATTTGCAGCAAATGGATTTTGGAACTGCGACTCATGTGAAGGATCGACATTGTGTGGCTTGGTAGGAAGTAATTTCGGCGAGGTCTCACGTGCTTTGCGCAACCGCTGTCTGGAAATCTTCATGGAGGGCAAGTTGGGTGGCGTAGGTGCGGCATTTGCTGGTCACAGAAGCACTTGCAGATGGGTGTGTCTACAAATGGGGCAATTATAAGGTGTGTCTACAGATGATAACCCAGTGGATTTATACCCCATTTTCAGAGAAATCCAAATGTAAGGATAGTTGAGATCATTCCAAGAATGGACTTTGTGATTTGCTACCATGCCGCTGTGGAAGTTTCCCGGAGCTTCGGAGGCTTGGATGACTTTGAAGTGACAGATGCGAACTCGGGAGGGAAACAGGACCATCAATGTGAGTTGGACACTTTTATGAAGAGATTTGCATGATTTTGCATGCCCCACTGCAGCGTTGTGAAATTACGCTGCCAGAAAGGGTCCGCGTCGGTCCCCGTCCCTGCTTCAAGTCGCTTTCAGATCTCTCTATTCAACATCACTCAACATCAACTAGTCAAGCTGTAGGACCAGAAGTCTTCAAACTTGATGGAGAGAGCTGGCGTCCCAGTCTCCTGCAAATTGAGAGTCCTTAATGCATCTTTGGAGATATGAAGTCTAGTCAGCTCCTGGTCATTGTAACACCGAACAGCTGCTCCTTGTGCTGCTTCTCCTTAGCGCTACTGACAGTGATGTCGATGCTGGTGGTGATTGTGCTGATGTAATCTGGGCATCTCTGGGGGATATGGACACGGACCACATTTGCCACTGTGAGACAGATGTGGTCGTTACAGTGAAGTTGTTGCCGGGTCGTCGTTACCGCTTTGATAGTGATGACAACCATGATGTCCATGAGGATGTGACACGCAGTCAAAATGATTTTTAATCATTCAATGCAGTGAACACGATCTTCAATCTTTTAGTGGCACCTTTGGTAAAGGCACTTGCTGCAACACTTCAGAATGCAAGACGTTGTTCTTGGATTTGTCTAGTATTCTTGCAGAATGGGGGCTCGAAAGTAGCTCCCGTTTTCCTTGCGCTGCGAATGCCACGTTTTGAACTCGTTGCGATCTTGGTCTGGCTGAGCGCCGCACAAGAACAGCTACGTGGGAAGGCTGTTCCAGATTACACGCAGTGTGGAATAGTGGGAAACAGGCGCGGGACTTTCGAGGACCTGATCTTTTCACAGAGTTTGAACCCACAAAGTGCATAAAGCTTTGGTAATTTATTCCAGCGCCTTTGAAAACCATGTCGTCCTCACCTCTAATGCTGACTTTGTCAACGGAGGAAGCGCTACAAGAGTGGCATTGTGCACGGGAGGGACGCCGCACAATGTGTTTGGAGATGGCAGGTGAGTTTGAGAAATCAACGTGAGGATCATCCAGCCATTCCCTTTTGTGGTGGAACACTAATTGCACCTGGATGGGTTCTTACAGCTGCTCACTGCACTGCTAACTTGAACGTTTGTCAAATGCGGAGGCTCCGAGTTGTTGCAGGAGACTTCAACCAATTTTCGGATGACGAAGCTGCAAATGGAATTTCTGTCGAGCGAAGAGTTCAGGGCATCTACACGCACCCCATGTACAACAAGGTCACTTCTGATTTTGACTTCGCCTTGGTGGCTCCTTGCCTTCTTCAAACCAGTTTCAAATCAGAGAGTTTCAGGGGTTAAGGGCATGTGCTGAAGAGATCTCAAGAGTCAAGAGCATGTCGTAACGCCAGTTTTAGATTGACTTGAAATCTGAGGAGTTTACAAGAGCCAGGCTGGAGAGGTTGAACCACAGTAGCTGAACCGCTGTTCTGCCAAAGTAAGGAGTTGGACAAGGAAGTGCCGATCAGTGACTGCATTGGAGTAGCTTGTTTGCCCAAAAGTGCTGATGAGACTGGTATGGAGTGTAGTATCACCGGCTGGGGCACTTTGATGTCCTCAGGACGCTCAGCTGCTTTGGTAAGCTTTTATAGGCTTTTAAAATGCATTTTGGCCAAAATAAGTCGCAGGCATGAGTGGTTGGTTTCTTGAACGAAACCTATAAAGAAGCTGCTTGCCTTCGGCACGTAGATCGGAAAAGACTGGGAGAATACACTTGTGGATCTACTGTTCGAAAACTGAATCCCAGAACAATTTTCACTAAACAGTGAAAAAAACGGCATGAATTCAATCGGATTCAAAAGAGCAGTTGCTCTGATGGCTCTTCTACAGACATTACAGACATGTGTGGCTGGACCCACACTTGCAAGATCCAAGTTTGTCCTGCGACATGGAGTCCACAGTGCACATGAACAGCACCATCCTCTGACACAATATTTGCCCTGTGGATCCTGCAGCCTTCCAGTCTGCTTGTCCCAATGAGAAGATACTACCACCGTTTTTTTTTGCCGTAAACATGTTACTTAGATATTCTTAGTTACAGTACTCAAGTACGCAATATATATATAATACATATATATATATATGTATGTATGTATATATGTATATACATATATATATATATATATACATATATATATATATATACACCTACATACACACACGTGTATATACAATTATATAGATATTTATGTATCATGTATGTGTGAAGCTTTGGCAGAAGACATTTGCTAGTTGCCCAGGACCTTCTCCGGAACTGCTGCAGGAAGCTCCTGCTCGGATCCTAGAATCTGTGTAGGGTTTAGGGCCTAGGGTTTGCCTTGGAAGTGCTTTATGGAAGATGAGACCAACGCTTTTGACCTAAATGTCTTGACTATATAGTATTATATATATATATGGATTTATACATATATATATATATAAATTATATAAATACATACATATTATATAGATAATATCAATAATAGATTGGTATGGCTAAACTTAGACTGAGGCTGGTCATTTTATACCGGAGTTGCCATGCTAAGTGGAATGGTAAAATGGTACTGTTGAGTCGTCGTGCCTGCCGGCCTGGCATGCCTGTGCAATGCGCAGATGTCTCCAGGTCAAGGTCTTGGACAACAGCCGTTGCGAGCGCGATTATGCAGAGACAAACGAGAGCATCACCTCTTCGATGCTTTGCGCTTCTGGCAGATCTCAAAGTGGAATTACTGACACCTGCCAAGGCACTTGGCTGCACTGATCCTGCAGACGTGTTCCAATTTGGGGAGCCAAACACGAATAAACAAGAAAGGAACAAAGCACTCTTGGACAAAGACCATCGTTCTGGACTGGCCAGTTCACACCTGAGGTGACAGCGGTGGCCCTTTGGTGTGCAAAGAGTCTGGGCAATACGTACTTCGAGGTGTTACCTCCTGGGGTGATGGTTGTGGGCTTGAGGGCTTTCCTGGAGTGTATGCCCGCGTCACCTCTGCATCTGAATGGATGCACAATGTCATGAAAAGAATGGTGGCTTCAGATCAGGACGATGAAACGACGGATTTTGATGGAATGATGTGGGCAGTCGTTCATGGCCCTTGCACCATGGACGAGTCCGGTTGTATTCAAAGCCCAAATTTCCCTGCCAACTATACGATGCAGGAAGCTTCTCGTCTTGAGTCTGGATCTTTGAGCGAGTTGAGTAGTTAAGGGGTCAAGAATTCACTCTGATGCATTCTCGTTTGATATCAATCACGGCAGTGGGTTCCAAACTTGTCGTGCAAGGGGCTATTCTTTACTTTGATTGGGCGGCGCTGCATTCATGGAACACTACATTTTACAACCTGCTTCTGTTTCCAGCTTTGCATGTCTTTAATGTGAGACAACCGTAAATGATAATGTTGCCGGCTGTAGTATTTGGCTAACTTTCTGGTGGGGGTGCTGTGCCTTTGATCCGTGTAGTTTCTTTGCTGGGCAATCGGAGTTTTGGCTCCTTTGCTTCCTGGCTTTAATGTAGAAAACGGCAGAGTTATGAGCCATGACAAACGACAAAGAATCCCCATAGAAAAGCTCCTTTCATAAGAAGAATCACCACAGACAGAGGAATTCAAAAACTGTTTTGATCTAAGCACATGGCACGAAGTCTGGGAACAACTTCCATCCCGCCATGATAAGGCTTGCACGATCGCTGTGAACGTCACTGCGGCCGTGCCTATCCAGGTGCAGAGTTTCTCAACCGAAAGGGCCTACGATGCCTTGCTGGTGAACTGCAAGGCCTACTCCGGCAGAGATGGGCCTCAAGGAGTAATCCCAGACAGCAATGTCTATTGGCTTTCCGATGGCAGTGTGAATGCCGCAGGGTGGAAGATATGCCCTGGGATCGAGAGTTAGTCACTGACGCACAAAGAAGCGTCTAGGATCTTGTAGGATTTTCTAAATATGTTCCTGTAGTGTTTGACTCAGTTTCCATGTGATGAATCTACCTTTGTTTGACAATGCTTTGCTCCAGAATTTGCAGTGTGATGTGATATCACGTTTCTAGCTCTTCCAGAAAATCTGGGCAATTCGCTGTATAGGGGCTTTTGAAGCAGCCACACGCATGGAGCTGTTTTTGCCAGGCTGTCCTAAATATGGACACAGTCTGGCCCAGACTGATATCTCTAACAGCTAAATGACTTGCAATTTGCACATGTTCCAAAATGAGCTGCTTGTCAGCCTATGTCAGCCTGTCATAGCTTGAAAGCATGACCCAGCGATTCTTATGATTCTTTCTTTGATAAACACGTCAAAGAAATCCACGAAGTGTGACGCACCGTGTCTAGCTGAGAAGCTTCGAACACCTTCCCCCGGACATGGCACATGGCGCGTATGCCCTAGGTCCGTCCGGCTTTCGTGTTCCTGGCAGAGGCTTTACAGCAGTTTTCAGCAGAGTCAGACACCAAGTTTCGAGTGCCAGACCTGTCTTGGTTTGTTCATTGTTTGTATCTCTTTGTTCTGTTTTGTCCCATTTTTCGATCCATTTCAGTGGAAGCTTCAAGATCGTGAGACATCATTTGCCTTCAGGCTTCCTCCAAAACCTGAGCTGACCTGGGCAATAGGCTCAGCTTCCACGAGTGCAGATCGCATTGCACATCAATCTTCATTTTACTTATTTTATTGTCATAGGTCAGTCTTCCTGTTTTTTCTTGAGCGATTTCACGGCACATGTTGTCTTGGACCCAAGGTTCGAACCATCCTTGGGCATTCTACTGTGCTGGCCTGAGCAGCCGAAAGGACGCCTGTGTGCGGCTTCGAGTTGACAGCTGCGAGGTGGATGTCGTCCTGCCGAGCCCTTTGACAGTGATTGACGCAGTGCGCGTGGTGCTTGCAAATGAGGCTGAAGTGAATCAAATCTCTTTCTGGAGCCATTCGCAAGATCTTTTTTCTTTGATTAGTCAGCCCCCAAGCGCAGGCAACTCCTGCCAACGTTGCTCTGCACATTGCATGCCTACACTGCCTCGCCGATTCGCCGTGAGCTCAATTTGTTTGGTGTGCGCTCAAAGGCGAAACTCTAATTATTGCCCACCCTCTATTCTCCAGATGCGTTTGATCACACATATATCTGAGAGGATTCAAAGCTCATTTTGCAGTCCAGACGGCCAGACGAAAGGGCTCGTGCAAAAACTTGCAAGGTTATGGAGGGGCCTACGCAGGAAATCCTTGGAACGAGGTAGCCATTTTTTTGCGTTCCGTGTCTGCTTTCTCTCGATGCTTTGAACTTCATTTCAGGATCAGCGGACTGCAGCCAAGAGGCTGGGAGTTGTCTGGTTATCCACTGAGAGACTCTTTTTCTACTTGTTCACTGCAGGATCAGCGGATGCGTGAATCCTGGGTCTGGGCCATTGGATGCGTTGCCTGTGATCAATCAAACCAACAGTTGTTTGTCTTTAGTTTCGTTGCGGCGAGTCCAGTGTTTGCTTTCCTTTGTGATGCAGCTGTTCCATCTTCGGATCTCTCAGAATGCTATTGAAGTAGCCAAACTGTGCGGAAGCTAGAGCAGCTTGGCGACAATGTCAGTCAGTAGATATTTATCCGTTATCCACTTGCATAGCGAGGATTCTCTGCATCCATTTTGAATTTCAGTCCCTATTTTCCTCGCTAGACACAGAAACAAGTGTCTTCAGTGTCTTAAAGATTCCTGAAGTGTATGCAAACAGCCAGCAACAGAATCATGGATGTAAGAAAGAAACAGTACCACTGCAAAGTCCCCGGTGTAGCGCGGGGCAAACGCATGATGAGACGATTTGTGTTGGGCTGATGGCGGCTGATGCCGCCAGTGGAAACTGGGAACGTTCAGCTATTGCAGGCTGGAAAGCAAAACCACGGATCAAGCAACATGATTTGATAGTTCTTTAGTTGAACTCACTCTTATTGATCCACGATCATCCATGACTCATCCATGCTTATTGAACGCCTTCGTGCCTGCAAGGCAGACTTTCGGTCTCCAGTAGACTTGCTGTTGAGTTTGTTTATCAGGCGAGGGTCAGTGCAGTGTGCATCAACAGACTTGCATTGCGCAAACTGAACTGTTTGAGTTGGAAGAATTGACCATGGATGCAGGCCACCCCGGTGCCATTACTCGCCAAGCAAGCTGGGACCAAGAACATTCAAGATCAATGACAAGGCACTGCAGTGTTGGAGGTTGATGGTGGCTTTCTCCACTGTACAGGTTGTGATGCTTGAAAGTTGAAAGACTATTTAGGCCATTTTAGGCCTGCTTCAGTATATTTGTGGACTATCAATGTCCCCAATATTCATTTTAGACACATCACAGTCCATGCAGCACCTCGTGAATTTGGCTTGTCCACCAAGGGACATGGTCGTCGAGAGGATTTCGTCCTTCATAATCCCCGCGGTCAGACCTTGCAGTGACCTGGCCAAAGAAAAAAGGCTAGGAGATGCTAGGAGTCTCGAAGGAGTTACAGCTTTGCGAGGTCCCAGGCTCATTTTTTGGGCAGAGACTCATTGAAATCATTGAAACAGGTAAGGCAAATGTAAGGCATGTACTTTGCGAATCTTTGCGACCTCCCCAGGTGCTCGTTGTTCGAACCCATTCCAGACCCGGCTGTACCAACTCAGGACGGTACATTCGGTACATGCTGAAACGCTGTAGCTTTGTTCCAACGGAATTATCATGACTCAGATGACTCACATCTTGTTCACCATGGTAGATCTGTCATAGCTGTCATGCCGAACGGCCGGTAGATGTGCCTGCAGGAAAACTGGTCCCGAGAACGACCTTGCGAAGCTTGCTTGCAAATTGATACACGCTTTTCACCCGGTTTGAATTGACTATAATACATTTTTTTTTGGCAATCTGCAGTTATGTGATGATTGAAGCATATTGAAGCTTTGAGGTCATCTATCTACATGGCAATTCATCCTGCAGATTGGAGGCCCTCCCGTTACTACCGTTACGCACCAAGAGCAAGGAAAGCAGTCTGTGTTTATTGCTTTTGCGACAGCAAATCGCTCTCAAACATCTCCAACTGTCTTCAACTTATGTTTCTATCTTTTCGCCTTCAACACAGCTGAGACGCTTAAGTTGGAATCAAATGAACCAAGGCTTCTCCTGCCACTGAGAATCATGCTCTTTTGCTTTGACTTCGCCGGCTCTGGGATTTCAGAGGGCGAGTACATTTCTTTGGGTTGGTGCTTCGACAGCATTGTGAATCATTTGGCAGAGGGTTAAGACTTGTTGATATCTCTTAAGCATCCTCAGTCTGTGACCAAGGAGCCCAAGATCTTTTCTTCACCCCTCTCAAGGAACAAAGCATGATCTCTCGCCTCCTACCCGGGTCCTATACGGCTCCTAACTCTACCACTTTAGCCCGAGGTTTGAACGCGATGATTTGGCCACGTGCATTGAATACCTCCGATCCACTGGAAGAGTTACGCGTATTGCCCTATGGGGAAGATCCATGGGGGCCTTTACGGTAGCGTGGCAGCAGCTGCTTTTGGTTCGGCTCCATATGGATTCAGCAGCTGCATACCTTGCTGTGTTGAAGCCGAGGCGATTCTGCATGCTGATAGGGACCCCTCCATTGCTGGCTTGGTGCTTGACAGTCCGCTATCTGGCAGCACTTAAGCGCTGTTGGCAAACATAGGCTCCGCTTTGAAAGTTCTACTTTGAGCCTGAGACACAAAGAAATTGAAGTAGGAAACGCTTTTTTCAGCTCTTGGCGCGGGTGAGGCTATGGGTTTGGGTATGTTAACCTACCTAGAACTTGTACGCTCGGCTCATGCCATAGTTGCATACAGTTGGTTTTAGGTTAAAGACGTTAACATACAGGTGATACCATGCGTTGCACGGGTAAGATGGGATAGGTGAGCTGTGTGTCTGGGTTGGTCGGCACAATGTATTGCAGGGAGGATGGGTTGGGATCGGGCTGGGCTTAGATGCCGTGGGGTAGGGACGGTGCACTTGATTCATGGTTCATGGAATTCTGCATAGTTTTGGGAAGATACTGTACATTCTTTACTGTTGTTGGGGCCCAAACAATGACTTCATAGATCTTCATAGCATCGCAAAGAAAAGACACGTTGTCCCTATTCGATTTGAGCCACAGGCTTGCGGCATGCATTTCCAAAACAACGAAGCTCACATTGCAGTATCCAAGTTGCTTTGACAACAGTCCTGTAAGCGGAACGTGTCTTAAGACGTGTGCCCGCCTGGGTTTCTGCACGTGGTAGCTGTGCTGCCCCAGGTTTGTGTCCTTGCGTGATCTTGCCACAGAATTAGCGCGTAGACGGGTGTGAACCTGAGTTCAATCTTTATGAGTATTTGCAGAGCTGCAATTTTCCTTTGAATTTGGAGATGAGCGTGAGGCATTGATCCCAACTTGGGCAGCACGTGTCTCGGCAATTCTTGGGAATCAGTTGAGATTCCAGCGATGAGCAGGTAAGCCAGTCATGTGAGTCACGTGAGCGCAGATGATGTGGACAGGCGCGGTGCTGTCCGCAGCTCGTTCAGCGATCAAAGCACGAGCAGGCTTCGACTTTGAGGAGCTGCGTGATAGGATTGTTATTGGATTCGTGACACCAGGAGTCTCAAAAAAAAGCCAAAAAGTTCTTTCTTTCCCCACAGGACATTGAGGGCATTGATCATGTCAACAAATCCTTTATGCCTGCTCTGTGCCTCGCCTGCAAACACACGAATGGTTGCTCGGTTCCTCGTTTGTAACGACTTGTCCCTTGGGCGGTCTGTTGGAAGGTTCATTGCTGCGCGCAGAGATGACTTCATCCACCAGAGCCATGCTGACGCTTTGACGATGTGGCTGACGTTGCCCACAATTTGTAGTAACAAAGTAACAAAGATCAACGTCCTTAAGATTTTACATAGTCAATCATTCAAGCTTATAGAATTCATGGTGCGGCTGTGCACAAGATCTGCACCTTTTCAACCAAGGAACGTTTGTTTGTCGCCTACCGGGGAGAAAAAGAGCTATACCTCACAGATGGCGACCACCACTCTTCTCGAACACTTGCATGCAGGCCCCATCCCTGACACTGTCACCGACTGTCCAACGATCACTGCATCACTGCGCTGCAGGCAGCACGCGACGCTCTTCCTTTGCAGAGCTTTCCATTCGCCACACTTGGCACTGGCCTCGGTATCGAGATGTGTCGCTTCAAGATGATATGCCGTACCACGTAATACCACGTATATCATTTATATAATGTACATTCGTATCATATAATTGTACAATTTTATACTTATACTTATATATATACCTGGATCTTCATTCGGACATTAATTTCTGCCTTTTCAACATTATATGCCTGAAGGGGGTGTCGGACAGAAAATCTGACTGCGGGTGGAATTCAGTTTCAACAATCGGAAACATTGAAATGCTGTATTTTTGGGGAAAATGAATTCGGGCGGAATTGCACGTGATTCGGGCGGAAACACACGTGATTCAGGCGTAAATGGCCGTAACGATTTTTTTGAGAACACAAAGATAATTTTTTGGCTAAAGTGGGTTCGGGCGGAATTTGGAGCCTTAGGCGGAATCCTCAGATTCGAGCAGATTTCCTGACTGAATGCATTCAGACTGAAATTACTGACTGCACGAAGATATATATATATATATATCTATATCACATATCTTATAAACATAGGATGGACTTACTCCTTGCAATTTTACCTTGCTACTTTAATCCTTCTTGTATATTCACCCCGCTTCGCGTGGGGTGGCCGCCCACACCGCAGGTTTATTTCGGTCCGTGAGAGGGGCTAAGGGTGGTTTCCCCCCGTGGGGGCTCCCCAAGCTAAGAATTTTAACTTTCCCCCCGTGGGGGCTCCCCAAGCTAGGGAATTTTCACTTTTCCCCCCCGTGGGGGCTCCCCAAGCTAGGGAATTTTCACTTTTCCCCCCCGTGGGGGCTCCCCAAGCTAGGGAATTTTCACTTTTCCCCCCCGTGGGGGCTCCCCAAGCTAGGGAATTTTCACTTTTCCCCCCCGTGGGGGCTCCCCAAGCTAGGGAATTTTCACTTTTCCCCCCCGTGGGGGCTTCCTTTTCCCCCCCGTGGGGGCTTCCCAAGCTAGGGAATTTTCACTTTTCCCCGCCGTGACAGCTTCCCAAGCTATGGAATTTTCACTTTTCCCTCCCTTGGAGGCTCTCCAAGCTGCGGAATTTCAAATAGCTAGACAACGACGCCTAGATAGTCCCCCAAATCCCGTGTTCTTTGAATGTGTTTCCATGTTTTTGCAATGGTTTCCTTCAAAGCACGGTACTTTACACTTTTGTCGCCATAAAACCGGTCGAAAACATCATGTTCGACAATGCTTCCAATTCCCTTATCTCCCCAACCGTTGAAAATACCGCTATTTACAGTGTTTTCTTCAATTTTTCCATGTTCCAATGCCGGTAGCCAACTCCAACATATATATAAGAAATCCTTCCAAAACATTGTTTTTGACAGTGTTTTTCCAATGTTTCCAGTCAAACAGACGGTAATTTACACGTTTTTTGCCATAAAGGCAGTAAATCCTTCCAAAACATTGCTTTTGACAGTGTTTTTGTAATGTTTCCAGTCAAGCATACGGTAATTTACACGTTTTTTGCTATAACGTCAGTCCAAAACACTTGTTTTTGCAGTGTTTTCAATGCTCTGGCATCCAAAAACCCTGCAAAATCTTGCTATGTACAATGTTTTTTTCATTTTTGGCCGTTTTTCCATTGCCGGAAAGCTACCAAAATGACCCAAAATTCCATTTCAATACCCTCTTGCGCTCAGACACCCAAAAATCCTCGAAAAATGTCGAAAACACCACCGTATTCTGGTCTCGGTGCGAAACCGTTTTTGGCCCCCCCCCCAGCTAAAGCTGATATAGCGACTGCTATATTAACAAATGTCATTGAGCATTTAGTGTTGCTGTTTTGCCCCCCAATAAGCACGCCTTCACCGCCAAAGCGGTGTGGGCGGATTTGATTGCTGGTCTTGCGCCATGTCTTGGGATGGGGTGGTTTGGTGTCAATTCTGTTCATGTGCTTGAGCCGGGACTTTGCGCTATATTATTTTGAACACAGGGGACCGTGGATGCAAATGAAGCCAACGTTTGGGAGTAATCATCCCGCCTCTTTTGCAGATTAAACCTTGGCTAGTAGAACCACGGAGAACATATCTATCCAATCTAGATCGCCAACTAGATGCAGGGTAGAATCCATCATATGACTCATATGACGCTTGAAGAATGAGCAAGAAGTCCGGTGAAGGACAAGGAGTTAGAACAGGTACAACACCAGAAGAATCTTCAGAACAGAAAACTCTGCAAAGGCCATCGAACTTGCAAACTCACAGCCCCAAAACAGGGAAACTTTGTCCCCTTTGCATACTTTCTTGACAGCATGAAGATGAGCGTAAATGGAACGGTAGTTCAGTATTTCAGGCCTGGTTTCGCTAAGGACGCTCTTCTCCACCTCCACGTAGGTGGTGCAGTTGACATCTTTGGTACATCTGTCGTTCCAGACGGGTACAGAACAGGACTCCTGACCGTCCCTGACCATACCTTTGGGCCTTTGGCCTTTGGTCACCACAGAAATTGTGGCCTTAACCTCGATGCCGTCGATGCCAGGATGCCGAGATCTAGACTTCGAGGGATCCGAGATTTGTCGACAGGTGCCGGATTGTCATCAAGGGAGGGACAGAGGCAGCATATTTCATCAGATTTCTGCAAATTTAGATCTGTGATATTCCGTGATGATCCGAAGAGTTAGAGAAATTTGAAAGGCAGTGAGCCGTTTTTGCAGATGTCATTTGTAGAGCTGAGCTCCAGCTCCTTGGCAGATGCGAATGGTGCCAGAGCTAAGTGAGATGAAGTTGCTGGCGGGGCGGCGCTGCCAACGACCGGTCTCAATGACAGCAACGGTCAATGTGAATGATGCGAAAGTGGAGGCACTTCTACTTCTCAAAGAACATGACAAGTTCAATACATTTTAATCTCTTATCGAACTGAAGAAGAGATTTCTTCAATGATTTGTATCACGAATTCGACAGACCGACCAGATTGTGTCTTCTAGAGCTGGAAGCCAAACACGATGAGTGACTATTGTTGGCAGGCAGGCTTCTTCATTCGCTTGGTTGCTGCAGATGTGCTTGATGGTGGAGAAACAGATGAAGTCGGTCTACCTTGCTGTTTAGTGCTGACCTTCACTCAAGATCTATGCATGGTTTCACAGCTGCAGATGATTGGTGCTTGCCCAGGATTTCTTGTTTTGGCATGTTTTGGCTTGTTTGGCATTAGGATTTCAGTACCTTGTGCTGCCATCAAAGCCTGAGGTATCACGAGTTCACAGCGATATGCTACGGACACTAGTGGTGGGACCGGGTCTGTGTGGTGAGGCCAATATTTCGCTAAGCCTGGACACTTGTGGGACCTTGGTCTTCCAACGTGAAGACCAACAACTCTTGTGCCTCAACGTTGGAACGGCCTTCCGTGGTGAGCTCACCCTCTGGCAGATGCTGTTACGAGGGAAGGATGAGCTCATCTTCCGTTCGATGAACGTTGAAGACAGCGAAGCTACACTTTCGGAGCATTTGGGTGATGCTGTCCTCAGACTGAGACATTTGGGCTCTCATGCAGATGGGGTTTTGTTGCTGAACCGCAACTCAATCTCCAGACCCTGTGGCGACTATGGTCCGTCTGATGGTATCTCTGTGAAAGTGCAAAGTCAGCCGCAGACGCAGACTGATCCAGACCTGCATCCCGGCTTCGTTTGTGCTGATTTTTACATATTTTTACCATTCTTATCCATTCTTAGTTTTCTTTGCCAATTTTGATAGGACATTTGTATACATTTGTTCATTCGATGAAGACTGGAGGCAACGGGTAACGCTGGAGTGCGCCTGGAAGCCAGAGGCACGGTGTTGGTACAGCTTGAAGGATAAATTCAGGGAAGAAGTCATTGAAGATAGCAGCTGACATCAGCTGACTTTACTTTTGGACCTGTGAAAAAATGTACTTCATGTGCACCTAATTCTGAAGGCATGGTGGTAGCGCACGGTGTAGTGTAGTGGAGTGTAGTGTAGTTTGGTGTAGTGTAGTCTAGTGTAGTGTGGTGTATACGCAAGTCAAGTTGATTTCGTAGAAATTGTTGTGTGCCATGGTATTGTGTGGGAAGTAGTCCAGCGAGGCATTCTTATTTGAGTGATGTAAATGCAGTGTCACACGCAGTGTGATGCATTGAACTTTAATAATTAAACATCATGCAAAAGAAGCTGATCTAGCATCAGGTTGTGTAGTGACACAAATTCTGCTAAAGCAATGCCTCACGAATCAACACATGTGATGCACGGTGCATCTCACACATGATAGAGACAAAGCCAGCGTCATGTCTTGCAACCCAGCCTCTTCCAAGACACGTACTGCATGCGAAGCCCATGTCTAGCATTTTTCATCCACTAGTCTTGTTGCAAACCTAGTATGCTTGCTCTTTTGACAGAGCTGCGTCAGAGTTTCTGCCTTGGGAAAATAAGTGTACCACACCACCAGTATCCAAGAAAACGTCCGCAGGTTTTAATTGGATGGCGAGTAAAAATCCATGGCCTCGGAGAAGGGATCATCACTGGCATCAGAAAACGACGACTTCGCTCGACTCTGTTCTCAGTTTCAGGCCTGGTGCAGAAAACACTCAGGGTACCCTAAAATAGCTGGTTAATGGATGGTTATTTCCCTAAATATGTTTATAGGTTTTGACCCATCTCCAAGTATTTCAGAAGTCAAAGTTTGTTGGTCTGGACTGCCACTATCGGGGAAGACTGAGGCCTCTCAGTGCAGGACTCGGAGGGCTCCCAGGAGATCTCCCTTGCGAGGCAAGCGTCAAGAGCTCAAATCCACTGTGTTTATGAAGACCTGGACCTGGTACAACAAACATCAAGGGAATATCAAGGGAATATCAAGGAATCTGCAGATGCAACGCCAAGGTCCATGATCCCATGGATCAGTGGTCGGCGATTCGACCTCTTGGGGAAGGAGGATTGATCAGCCTTCCTTCATGTACATAGTCAGTAGACATCTTGGCCAGCAAAGGCAGCTGGTAGCATAGTAGAAAGAAACTAAGTCAGCAATGAGCTCACAGTCATTCCTGTGAAGACCTAGTTGCGTGTTGTAGCTGTCCACTTGGAGTGCCTCAGAGCGATTTTGTGGCAGACGAACATATTTGCACAACTCAAAAAAGATTACTGTACGCTGCCGTTGCCCCCCCTACTTTGCTACTCAGTCTGGCCAAATTGCCACATGGTAGCGTCTCAACATGGGATGGGACCATGCGCATTTGGAAAAAGCTTGTTCTCGCGGATGAGCTGTGCAGTTTCCTCGTCGGATTCCCAAAGCAATAGACTAATGATTCCCGCGACGCGGCAATTTGAGGCCCAACAATTGGCGCAATTCTCAGGCTTCAGCATCCGAGCTTGGAGCTTAGAATTCAATGTCCAGGTTGTCTGAACGATACCGACTCAGACTAGAACTTTGTTTCAATGTTCGCTTCGTGGCTCTGCGATCCTCGGCTTTGGGCTAACTTTTGGACTTTTGGACTGTGCAGATCTGAAGGCGCTGCACAAGCTGCACGACCTCTTCACGACAGCAGTCAGAAAATCTCCCAAAGGCTTCTTCGTTTCTCACATGCAGCGCATGCACAGCCTGATGCAGCTGACAAGATTCGAACCCGGTGATTTTCCAGGCACGTCGCCTTCTGCGTTGCTTCGGGCAAGCTTTGTTCAGGTGAGCGTCTCAATGCTGAAATGCTCCAAACAAGCATCACACCAACCTCTGCCCTGCGTTGAATGAGAGAATGGGACAATAGAAACAATAGAAGCTCAGAAGACTTTAGTCTATGCCAAGCAGTTGAGGTCTACAGTGCTGAAGCTTGCGCGGATGAAAACAGTGTCCTTCTCTAAGCAGGGCATTGGGTGTGCCGAAAGGGTCTGAAACTGTGTGTGGAATGCCTACCCAGATCGCAAAAAGAAGCTCCAGACGATAGGGGTTGCACACCCCCTGATTGATCATGAATCTACCGGATCCTGAATATATGATGGATACTTGCAGCAATATGGATCAATATGGCAGATTTGGTATCATCTTGCGTGGTGTGAATTATTCTGCTGTCATGAAACTTTGAGGCATTGCTCCTCATGGCTTTGGCTTCTGCATCCAACTGCCTGCAGCAATCAGAAGCCTTCAAATGGCTGGGACTTCAGCATTCTCACATATTCTCACATTCTGAAGGGTTTTGGATATCTGAAAAAGTCTCTGAGCTGATTTCTTTGAAAGAGCCCGGATGTAAAGTCATTTGTGATCAGCTCCAGTGAAAGAAACCAGCCAACTATCCACCCAGTTCTCTACTACCCTTGGGACTTCTTTCCTGAGGCTTGCGACTGCGCTCAGCCAAGCACCACTGGTTTCTGGACGCGCAGCTCGAGGTTCTGCAGAATTAGCTGTTGAGGCGCGAGATATGCAAAGTGCCAATGTCAGATTAGAAAGGTGCAAGTCCTTTGGCGACAATTCATTGCACTTTGCTGCGATCGGATTTGAGAATGCAAGTGCTTTTTTTTAAAGCCTTCGCTTTTGTGAGCCTCAGGTGCAGAGAAGGTCTGGTTCTCAGGAACTCCATGCAGCGGATACGATTGAAACATGACACATACATATCGAATCATATCGATACACATCCATGCCCTTATATATATATATGGTAATATATGGATATATGATATATGGATATATGATAATGATATATATATATGGTACTTGTAGTCTTGCAGGCTTGGACCGCTTCGCGCTGGCCTGGATAGAACCATGACGATGCTGTACCTGGAGAGGGTGCCTGCTTGACTCTTGGTATGTTTTTTTTTTTTGACCACATGCTTCCGCATGCTTCCGCATGCTTCCACATGCTTGAAAGCGGATCCGGAATCCGTGTCCTTTCAGAGAGTTTTTCGAATGCATCGCAGGCCAACAACGAGACAGAAGCCCTGCAGCAGCTGGACTCCTTGGCCAAACTCAGTGTGGTACCAAGCGGATGTTGCTTATCAGAAAGGCTCAATGTTTCTGGTGATCCGAGCAGACTTGATGTGAGGTCAAAGCAACAAGATCGATATGGCCTTTTCCTTAGAGTGTCTAGACATTGCTGGGAACCCAAACAGTATTTCCAGTTTGCTGGCATTCTCGAGTTGGACGAGACTCCACTGAAATGCATTTGCCATGCAGAACGCAGGCAGCCTTGCACAAGTTTCCGATCCACCCATTGATTGCAGCGACTTGGCTAAAGCAAGCACATATTCGGAGGCACATTCGAACAGTTCTGACTACCTTGGCAGGTTCAAACCGCAGTTGCCAGCAATTGGATCAATCTCTAGATGCCTTGGTGCGCACTTGGCTAGACACCCGAGGATATCATTCCAAAAGCAGCAGAAGCGTCGATGCCTTGTGGCGTTTTCTCATTCGCGCCTTGAACTGTTCAAGTTGCACAAACCGACTTGAAGAGAAGAGGTTGCACAAAACATCACAAAGCATTAAGCTTTGAGACAGAAACTTACAGAAACCCTTTGTTTCACTTTGTTTCCTTTCGTGCTGGTCTCTTAACTTGCAAGTCATTCTTCCACTTCTCCACAGGCTGAGCAAAGAAATGGCAGCTCAGCCGCTGTCTCGTGAAAGCTGTTCTTTGCGAGACGTCAAGAGCTGAGTGGATCGCTGACTTTCTGGACGGGCGTGACGGGCGTGGCTGTGAGCTGTGATAAACTTCTGATAAAGATTTTCAAAATAAATTGTGCTAGCAGTGATTAGCAGTGATTCATTAAAGATTTTCAAGCCAAGCTACAAGAAAATCCAATCACTGGAGCTGCAACGTTCCAAAAGGAGGTTGTTGGCAAGCTACAAAGAAAAATCCAATCAATGTTGGATGCTTCATTGTATGAGCAGTGGTTCAATAGGCACTGTCATATACATAGGTAGTCTGACAAGAAGAACGTGCAATTAAGGCATGGGCTCTGGCAACCTGTGGACAACATCGGGTACGCCTGTAACATTTCTGGATTCAGTTGCATTTTGTCGAGTTTCCTGCAGCCACTTGCATTTTTGTCCTATGTTCTTGCACTCAGGGACCGATAGAACATTTCGATTTAATTTATGCATGGAATATCACACGTTTGTTTCCGTGTCTTAACATCATGCCACCAAGTATTCATACAAGTCAACCTTTGTGACGCAATAGTTCCCTGCAGGCTAACGCCGAACACCTGTTCTCTTTGTTGCACTGTGCAAAGGCTCGTTTGAAGAACAGAAGAGTGGAGCTGAGGGTGTGACGGCTGTGACGGAAACGTGGCCTGATCTTCCTCGAAGGCCTTGTCTGCCCATGTGCTCCGAGAAGGACCGCAAGTTGCACAGCAAAAGGACTGCGGGCACCAGTTCCGGTCGGTTTTCCAAGACTTGCCTTGTCATTGACAAAGTATAAGAGCATTCATAATCGCTCATGGTCGCCTTGAAGGATGCCACTGGAGAAAGCGCTTGGTCATTGAGTGAGCGCTTTCAAGAAGGTTGGGGACAGAATTGCCCTGGGTCAAGCCCTTGGTGTCGCAGCTGGCTGTCAGGTCGCATCCCTCTTGGTTCCTTGCCGCATCCGGCCCTGACAGTGCTCCAGCCACTGGTGCTGGCAGTTAGCCAAGGCAAGTGGTTCCAGGGAGAAAATGCTGGTTCCACATGGGTTTATGTCCGATTCCATCACAGGAGCGGCACTGCATACTCGAATTACAATTACAAGATAGAGAGGAGAACCAATGCGCCTTCTGGATTTAATGGGCTCAGTCACAGAATTCTTGGGTCTGGCAGTTGTTTGTTTGCAGGTCTTGTTGCAAGCCTTGAAGAAGTTTCATGGGCGGCGGCACCCGGCACCAGCGAGGTGTGAACCTTGAGCCAAGCGACATGTGAACTCTTGCACCTCAGATTTTCTCTAGTTGGAGGTCCTATTTCGCATTCGCTTCGCTCTGGGTCAGGGGCTGAGTCGCCATCGCATGTTATGACTCAGGACTCGCAGACTTGCATTTTTGACAGCCGATTCACCTGGGTTCAACTCAGAGCAAAGTCTCCAAGGTTTGGTAGATCACCTTCAGTCAATGCTGGAGGCGAGCGCTGCTCGTTGTCAGTTCTCATCATTGGAGTGGGTCGTTTCCCAAACACAGGCAACCGTGCTTGGCATAGACAAGTCTTCGAGGTCGCAGGCGGGAACAGGGGATTGACCTGTTAGTAACGCGAGGGGCGAGATATTCGCTGGGTGATGTTGCAGCAAATCTTTTGTGCAGGCGCAGCGCCAAGCTTGGTCTTTCTTGGAGCCAAAGGCGATTCCGTATGGTCTCAATGGTATTGTCTCACTGGCCATGAACATGCTCAAAGATTTCCAATCGGTTCTCTAATCGGGACGTGTGCAGACCCAGTTTTGACACTTGCATGAGTTTTGAAACTTATATACTTCCGTATTTTGATACGAATTGTTTTGCTTAATTTGACCCGTGCTTTGCAGGCCTTGTGCATGCTGCAGGAGATCTACGGATTTCTAAAGGGGTTGCCCTCGATGCCTTGGTTGGCAAGCTCCTGCCTTTGCTTTTCCAGACACTTTTGCATGTTGTCGTACAACTGGACGAGAAGTGTCAAGAAACAATAAGAAACCATCAGCCCCACAAAGGTGTCGAGTCTTTGATCTCTCGCTTGCGTACCCATTTGGCATCTAGCGGCTCTGCGTGGGATCCGGATGCCTGCATCTCAAGCACGAGTCTGTCGCATTCAAAATGCATGTTGTGCCGCTTTTGCTTATTGGGAGCCAATGGGAACCAATGGGAACCACATGTCGGTGTCAGAGAGTTTTATTTCCTCCATCTCCTTAATTAATAACGTTTTCTTCAGGGCTTTGCATTTTTTTCTTATTTTCCTTGTTAAGTTCTACTGGTACCTTCTAACTTTAACGTTTCTTGGCTCTAAATGCAACCACTTCCGGGGAGCTGTGAGGCCAGTCGACTGAAAGCTAAGCTGCTTCCCTTGACTGATAGTATCAGTGTGCTGCCCTCACTTCCGACAGCCCTTGGTGCCAAAATGGCCTTGAAGACCTGGAGAAGATGTACAAAATGTATCAAAATGTCAAGTAATTGAAGTTAGAAAGATCTTTGAGTGGTTAGACTGCCAGGTATGGGGTGGTCTGGCACCACCCTTGCGACATTCCTCTGAGTTTCTGCTAGAACAGTCGGATTTCTCGGTCTTAATTTGTATATCAGAATTTGCGAAGTCAAAGGCTAGACAATTAGTTTCCATTTTGAGAGCTCCGTTGTCCTTGCGTTCATTACATCTATCGAACAAGGCTGGTCCTCTCTATGGCTCTCGGCCGAGTGCAGTTGGACAGACCAGCAGCCTCTACTGTGGGGTCGCCAGCACGATGTGTTTGGAGTTGATTCAATGAGATGACGTAAAGATGGTCAAAGCCGAAGTTGGGGTCAAGGCATCCATCTTGGCTTCCTTGCTCATTCAGAGGGAAATGCTTGGAGACGAGACACAAGAGGTCAGCTGTGTCAGTCGTGTGTATCATGTGTATCTGTATCACGGTATCACAGTATCATTGCTGGCTTCATCCAGCCAGCTTCAACCATGGCAAGTCTTGCACCATCAGATGTCATTTACATAGCGAAGGCCTTGGAAGTTCTTCGTCGCAAGCAGCATTCTCCAGAGGCGCAAGAAGTGGATTAGACTGTAGAAGGACGTCGGTTCCTCTTGTTGCAGTTGCGCTTCTGTTCCTTCATGGTACAGTTTTTGCGATGCTAGTTCAAGGCCGAGCCAAAGAACCCTTCAGAGGAGCAAAGATCATGGCCACTGAGGGTGTTAACATTTATGATATCAGTCGAAAGACAATTTCAATGCTGGTACCACTGGTACCTGAATTGGATCGTAGCAGGAGACAGTGGAAGCAAGTCCCAAGCGTGTACAACAGCTCTTTCTAGTGCTGGAGGCAAGGAAGCCAGGATAATATCCACACAATTGGCTTCAGGAAAGGGTGAAAAATAGCAAAAAGGAATGGTTTGGTGGAGGCAATCCACTCTTTGTGGCCCCTTGCGAGCTGTGCAACTCTCAGTTTCAGATTTTACTTCAGGGAAGTTTTCGATGCAGTGATATGCTGTGGCAAAAGAGCCATGGTAAGGTAGCCTTCCCAACTTCGAAACCTTTGCTGCTGACGTCAGTGATGCGCTCAAGAACATCCATCAAGCAGGGCCCGGGCAGTATTGAAACCTCATTTTGCAAAAAAAAAGATTGAAGAATGTGGATGCTTTCTCCACCTCTTTTGCTAAGGTTGCTATGCAGCTATAGTCACCAAGCAGCTTCCAAGGTTTGAAGGCCCATCCACTAGCTTTGGTCAGCTTCAAAATGCCATTGCTTTCGTAGGACTGAATCGACATTGGCTGTTTGGTTGGTGAAAAAGTGAGAACATTGTCATAATTGTCATATAGGTTCAGCCACTGGTGCGGCCGCCCGCATGCACTTCTTGCAAGCTGCTGCGGAGGCACCTGATTTGCCCCGACCAAATTCATGCAATTTCGTACGGTTTGCAAATTCTCAGCTAAAGCTGCTCAAGCTTCTTGTTGAAGGTGATGGTTCTGCAGTGGAGCACAGGCTGCTGTAATATTGCAACTGGACACAGTGATTCATTGATTTTGGCATTTTGGTGCCTGCAAGAACTCCGATTCGTAATTTGCCGCTTCATCGGTCACATCAGGTGGGCCCGCTCCACACGTGGAGAGTGAGCTCTCACTCCAGATTCCAGGCCACCTGATACGTATCGATTTTTCATTCCTTTTCAAAGGTCAGTTTTTGCTCGGTCAACATCTGCGTTGGCATGAAATTGCAAAGTTCCTGTTTTCCATCAAGATTCTGTGGAATGTGCTGTCAAACAACAGGCTGCTCTGGGCTAAACTGCGAGAGGAGATGAGCTTAGCATGGCTTTGCTTCCGAAGTCCAGAATTTCGGAGCCAAACGTGCCAAACGTGCCAAACGTCTCAGTCTTCATCAGTCTTCATCTTCACCTGGAGGCTTTTCTCGATCCAACGGCGTTCGTTGCTGGCAATGTCTTGGACTCAACCTCTAAGATCTCTAAGATCTCTAAGCTCGTTGCGCATCGTCTATCCGAGTCTATCCTTCATTGAGTTTCATGTCAGGCGTCATCACCTCCTCAGCAGTTTGGGCTGCGTCTTTTCAGAGGAGATTGCCGGAGTCTGAGGTTTATGTATTTTTATGTATTCTGGTGCCGGCAGTTCAAATTCACCAGCGCAGCAAAGCACATGCAGTTCATCCACTATGTCATAAGAAAGAAACATGGACTTTTCAATACTTTTCCCATATATATATATATATATATTTGGTGCCGGCAGTTCAAATTCACCAGCGCAGCAAAGCACATGCAGTTCATCCACTATGTCATAAGAAAGAAACATGGACTTTTCAATACTTTTCCCATATATATTTGTCTCTGACGCTCAAACTATGTCATAAGAAAGAAACATGGACTTTTCAATACTTTTCCCATATATATTTGTCTCTGACGCTCAAATCGTCGAAACGATTGCGCATGAAATCCGGCAGTCAGGCCGGTGGCCATCCTGCCTTGAATTTCTTGCTCACGCCTGCCACCTTGCCCGGGCCACTGGAGATCCAAAGATGAGGTGTCAAAAGTCGCTAGACATATTCTCATTAGGCCAATATCAGGCCCTGCCACAACATTATATATATATAATATATATATTATATTATCAGTTTGAATATATGATATGCATGACATACAATATAGTATAAATATACTGTATATGTACAGTACACTATCATAGAATCATTTATGCAATTATTATAGATGTACGCATGTCTTCGTTGTCTTCATGGGTTTTGTATGTCGGTATGGGAGATCTTCAAAAGCTGAGGAGTCGTTTGAGACCGCCTGGACAGCTGGACAACACAAGTCCTCCAGCCGCTTCACTCGTGTTGTCTAGTGGCTTTGTTTGCGTCAACGCCTTAGAAATCCCCTCAGGGCATAGTTGCGGCATAGTTACATAGTCTGTGAAAATCCAAGGTTCCAAGCTTGACTTACTGTCAAGGTATAGCTTGGATTGCTTGAACTTTATAGGACAATCCTGATGTTTCTGTGTCTCAAGCTCTTGACGCTGAGCTGCTTCCAAGCGTTTGCAAAGGCCTGGAGTCTAAATCTTTGTGCGATGGTGTCATCAACCAGCAGCGGGCATAGCTTGCGCTTGAAAGATGACAAATGCCAAAGGGAGCCGGGACTCGCAATGACATCAATGACAACGCAACGAAAGCACAACAGATTTTGTGTCCGCATCATTTTTTTCCCTCTTCGTGGCGGCCCTACAATCCTGCCTTATGCCAATTTTATGGACTTGCATTGCAATGTCAGGTGTGCACAACTTCAAACTTCATCGATCTCTCTTGCAAAGTTTGGCAGGCTGTTTGCAGCAGAACATGTTTGTGCCCCAAAGAGCACAGTATTGCGAACTAGATGGACTTGCGCAGAAGCAGGGGTCGCAGATGACCCGCAGGGGAAAGTGCTGGCAGGCTCATGTTTTGACGTCACCCGTGCAAGAGCTGGAGATGCTGAGGATCGACTTTTTGATGTCGCCTTTGCAATTGATGGGTGTGTTGTGGGTGTTGGTTTGCAGGACTGGCCCGCCTGCTGCCACTTCCTTGCTGTGACCCTCCAAGCTTACTTGATTCATCTTGATTCACTACTGGAGTCATTGCAACTGTCCTACATGATAGTCATTGCGGAACGCGCCACGCGACTCGAGCTGATATTTGGAAGATGTTAGAAGCCGAGGTTCAACTACATGGCCTGCAGCTGGCTGCCAGAGACAGAGATGCAGCTGATGGACCCTTGGTGTCTGTTGGGCCCTCTGCTCCACGCTCTTGTCGATGCCATTGGATGCCATGTTCACGTTTGAGGCTGTTGACTTGGTGATGATGGCCGGTCATGAGCTCGCCAAGAAGGCGAAGATACGTATCACAAGAGAATCACCCTATGAAACCTATGAATGTACTTTGAATGCTTTGAAGACATTGAAAAAACAGGTTGGTTTCTGCCATTTTTGGCTTCGATGGTCCATGGACATCCATGGACATCCATGGACCATGGACTTTGATGCCGAGAAACTGCAGGGCGAGAGCCTGGTAAGGATTGCCTTGGAGCTAGAAAAGCTCAGAGCTGCATTGGAATGTGAGATCAAGACCCAGGCCGGAAGTATCTTCACAGAGAACTGTGTTTGAATGGCGGCTCTTCAATGGCAATTTTGACCCCCACATTTCAGCTTGTCATAGGTGGCCGTCGAAAAAACGCAAGGACATGGTCGAAAGCAAAGGTCCCACAATGTGAGTAGCAGACAGAAGACTTCTGCAGGACACAGCTGGCCAATGCCATTCCAAGCAATCCTGAAATCATTCGGGTCAGAAGCCCAAGTGATGTCGTCCACTTTGGCATCCTGTGTTTTGATTCTGATATTCTGCTGAATATTATATATATATAACTCTATATATATATATAACTATATATATAATTATATATATATATATATCCATTATATGTATACATATAGATTTTGAATGATTATGATCTCCAAACGTGGGACAAAATGGGGAAATGGGGAAACTAGGACAGGACAGGTTGGAGGTTAGGTGGGAGGCTGTAATGTTTTTGTTCAATCTTGTAATCTGAAATGTTTGACTGTTTCTTTTTGAATATCTTGCTAAATGTTTTGTTGAGGTTGTTGTAATAATGTTTGGTTTCAATGAGGGTAGGTTTTGTTGAGGGTGTTTTGCTTGTTATGATTTTAGGTTTATGTTCAGTGTTTGTTCCTTATCTTTGATGTTTTTTGTGTTGTAACATACTTTGACCTGACAGAGTTGAAGGAACATCTCAAAACCCTCCCACCCAATGAAAGACACAAAGTGAAGGATTTTGAGAGGTTAAGAAACCTCCGCAATGGACAAGACCCCAACGAAGGAATGAGTGAAATAGATATGGTTATAAAGGAACTGGAAGAGGAGGAAAGGGAAAATAAAAACCAACCCGAACCCGAAAACTGAACGAGCCCCCAAAAACTACTTAAAGAAAAATTACCTATATATATATAGTAAGAGGATGCTATTTACTTATAAAAACTATGGATGTTGTAAAAAAGAAATGACTAACCTAAAGGTTTTACTAAACAATATTTTTTCCGTTGGAATTTGTGATGAGATATGTGATTACAACCTTCACTGTTCAAAATGTAAAGACTTAAACGATAGGGAGCGTAGATACATAGATTTCAATTATCATTTTGACTATTTTAATGATAAAAAACTGACGAGAGTAGAAAAGACAATCTATTTCTTTAAAACAAGGATGGAGAAATCACCTATTTATTTATCCGACACGAACCGAACAAACACTCGGCAAATGAAAAGAGAAATTGATGTTTTAATGGATACATTCAAACTCAAGCAAGAATTCAAACACGACAAACTGTTCTTAATGGCGATTGAGTCTTTTGTGAAAAGGGAGTGGAAAACGACCTATCACTTCCTTAAAAACTTTCACGACCTTACATATATGAAGTATTGTAAAAACAAGCGTGAGTGGTGGTTTCCTCAAAACGATTGGACTTATACATTCAGAAATAGGGAGTTTCAGGTAAATGACATTTTGAACATATTTTTGTGTGAATACACCGAAGAACTGTTCAACGGTTATGAGAAATATTTGAACATAGAAGAAATAAAAGAGCACCTACAAAAAGTGGTAAATACTTAAAGAAAAAATAACTATATATAGTAAGAGAAAATGAGTAAAGCAAAAATTCAGGTTATAGATAGAGATAATATCGGTATATATGCTGACTTCGGTAGTGAAAGCGAGGACGATGACTGGGAAAGAAAAGCAATAGAAAAAGAAGATGAAGAGATTAGAGACTTTGTAAAATGTCATCCCTTACCACCACGTGAAGACTTTGATTTTTGGAAATCTGTGCTTGATAGAGTTGTTAGTGAAAGTAATGTTGAACGGTTTAAAATATTTATACACAAACAACTTGACATCATCAAACGAATGTATGAAAACCTCACCAATAAAGATATAATCATACAATGCGGAAAAGAATTGAATAGAAGAGGTGGGTGTTTTTGTATGAGTGTTAATATGTCCCTTTTATCAATAGCGATGGATGAACTAAACGATACAAACAATCCCTGCTTATCACAAATGAGAGTAATTGAACACTGGTGGGATGATTAAATAGGTGAATGGAAAGCATAAAAGATTAATTCATAATATCTTAACAACATATACTATGAAGTAATCCACCCTAAAAACCCCTTAAAGACATAACCCGTTAAACTTGTAGAGGTATAATGACTGACAAAAAGCAGTGTTCTAAATGTAAAGTCTTTCAACCGTTAAACTATTACAGAGATGAATGTAAGCAGTGTAAAAACTGTTTAGAAGCAAAGCAACGATACAGAGAGAATACAGGGACAAATTAAGACAGTATGCCATACAGTATCATCAAAGAAGAAAGGAACAAACAACAGAGGAAAAGAAAGACACTAATGAATTGAAGACTGAATGTCCCGTGTGCGGAAGTATCATAAACAAATATCAGGTCAAAAGGCACGAAGAAAGCATCAAGCATCAAACCAAACTGAAGGGAAAGGAAAAACCGAAAGTTGTGAGAAATGGAGATGATAAAACTGGAATGTTAGGCATATGAAATCTCAATCCAAACATAAAACCCCAACAGCCTAAACAAATCCTACCCCCATTCAATCCAAACATCAACAGTGAAAGTTAAGACCCTAAACCACCCCTAACAATGTCCCAGTAAATCATCAAAACCAAGGAACACACATTGAACAACAACATAAAAACCATAACAGCCAAAACACCCTCAACAAAACCTACCCTCATCCAATCCAAACATTATTACATCAACCTCAACAAACATTTAGCAAGATAATCAAAAAGAAACAGTCAAACATTTAGATTTACAATATTGAACAAAAACATAACAACCTCCCAACCAACCTCCAACCTCTCTTGTCCTAGTTTCCCCCTTTCACCGTTTTTTGTGGGGTATGTATTGCAGTGGTGACTATCATAGCTATAAGTCCTCTAAGAAAGAGTATGACCCATATAAGTCTCTGATGAAGTCTTTCGATTGTTATGTTGCATTCTGAGGCTACCAGCTCTACTGTTGCTGGAGCAATGCTGCAGGGGCCGCAAGGCTCGCTGCGATGATTGTGCGACATGTCATTAGGACAGACTTGTCACCACTTGGAAATGTCATGGGTTGTTCAGGCTTGTTCCTTTTTTTTACACTTTCTTTGTTGAGATTCTCAGATACTTGCTGCTTTGTTGGCTATCACTTGGTCAGGAAATGAGTGATGGGGACGCAGCGGGTGCGTGTGGCTGCATTTGGGTTCAATCCTTGGCATGTGATTGTGTCCTGTAAAGAAGGTAATCCAACCTCCAGACAGGTAAAGCGTGCGACACAATCGCACTGTGAAAGTTGTGGCTGTTGCGGCTTGCAGCTTGTGGGCCTGTGATACATCGAGTTGATTTGTGGCTGTGTAAGGCATTGTCTGGTCTTTGGCGTTTGCAGTCTGGAGGTGGTGTGTTGCTGTTGGGGCCTCTGATTTGATCTGCAAAAGACTTTGAGACTGGGTAGCGCTGGTCGAGCGCTGACACAGAGGCCTGGAGGTGTGGATGCCAGTGAAACTGCAGCACAGCTCCGTTCCGAATGTGCGGGGCCCACCCACTAGCCGAATGGGCCAGAGCTGGTGTATCTGGTGTTAGGTCTTTGTGGCTATGCTATGCTATGCTATGCTTTGCTATGCTTTGCTATGCTTTGCTGCTTGTCGCGCGGAATCGGATTGAATCTAAGCTACCTAAGCCGCTAAGCTCATCCTAAGCTCATCCTAAGCTCATCTTCCGACTCCAAGTCGCAGCTCTCCAAGTGTCCAGGCCTCCGACGTGCCGATAATTTGGACAACGAAGTGAGCACTCGTGCCTTGGAGGACAGGGGCCACACTAGTGGCAACACTCCAAGCCTTGCTCAGCACTGGATTCAAAACCGGACAAATTAGATGTATCTTGACTTGTTTTCACTCGTTTTCATAGGTCATGTCACTTCAAAAGCTTCGGCTTTTTGAGGGTTTCAAAGCATCGCATGATACAGTGCGAAATTGGCAGCAGTCGTTTTCCTTGCAAAGAGGAACTAGTCATTGATGGACATTGCAGCAGTTCTGAAGCTGCAACTAGCAAGGCACTTGACGAGGCTTGCTATCCTGCTATCCTCCTACAGCAGACGGATCACCATCCTAAAATCCACATGAGAAGATTTGCAATCTGCCATGGAACAACCGCTGCGGGAACAACCCATTGTTGGTCCAGTCATTTGGTGCCCCTCGGGAGGTGGAGCTTTGGCGCAAAGAAGCGGAAGATCTTCAGCAGCAGAACGCCTAGGGAAGGGCGGGAAGGGATTGTTGTGTTGTACACCTTGAGATACCTTGGACATTCAGATCTTTCCACACTAGCAACCCAGATATGTGTCAGCTTCCATTTTGCTTAGCTGATAGCATCTAGCTTCACCTCCACACTGACATTGCATCTTTCATCCAGTGTTTGCTGTAGTAAGCTGTATTGCTTCGGATGCACTTTGTCAACCAGAATTTGAGTCAAAATCATTCTCCAACTTCCAAGCGACCTGCCTGCTTCAGGCATTGTCGGCTGCGACCTCCCTTGGCCCTACAGACGGAGCCAGAGTCCAAGCAAAATGAAAGTATTCCGATGCCTTGGTTTGTTTTGTGCTTCCGAAATCTTGGAGTCTATCTTCAAGGATCGCTTGAAGTGGACACTCTTGAGTCTTGCGTATTTCCGTGTTACGTTGTGTTATGCTGTGGTGCTTTTTGTATCATATCAGTATCATGGACATTCAAAACTTGATATATCTTGATAGACAACAATCTGTGGCTTCGCTCCAAAGGCAGCACAGTCCAGCAGTATCCATGGCGCGGGGCTTGGCACATGATGCAAATGCTGTGAGGCGTCAACCAGAAAATCTGCGAACTAGGGATCTTATTGGATACATAACGATATATATATACTACCCGCAAATGACTTAGTCAGATGCGGACATACCCTCGAAAATCATACTCCTATGTCATGAGCAAACATACCCTTGGTGGTCTGGGTCCCTTACTCCTATGTCATCACAACAAACCATAGAAAACATGTTATTTTTAAACAAGTTTTGCAAGGATATAAGGCATTAGGAAATAGTGGGCAGTTCCTAAGTCATGATAACTGCAGCTATTTTGCTTGAAAGAAGTGATTGGCTGATTGGCTCCTGCACTGCAGGACACGCTGGCATGTTTATTTGGTTTTTTTTTTTCACTCGATTGTTTTAAAGCATTATTACACACTTTTGCAATTGAAACAAATTTAGAAAATGTTGTAAAATAAACCAGAATGTGAGAATATTTTTCAGATAAAACACATAATGGAATGAATATTTTTATTCTTTCAAACAAGAAAATATAAATGTGACATTTCTCATTTTCCCGTTGTTTCCCT